CATGAACTAATCAAAATCAATTTTTAAAAACTACATCTGACAGAATGCACTAGTTCCCTGGGTGGCTTCTCAGTTGTCGCAAATATGCAGCTCTGAAGGAGGGAGGGTCCCTCTCACTGACTGTTAAAGCACAAGCCAACAGTGTCAACTGCAAGTGCCACTACAGCAATGCAACAGTTACGTCTGATTGCTGGCTGATTGACTGGCTGGCTGGCTGGCTGGCTGGATGGATGGATGGATGGATGGATGGATGGATGGATGGATGGTTTTTTTTGAGACAGGCTCTCATTAAGAGCAAGCTGGTCTTGAATTCACTCTGTAGATAAGAATGAAAGTGAACCCTGGTCCTCCTTCCTTCACCTCCTGGACTTCTGGATCATAGGCCAGAACTCTCTGCTCACGGTGTTAGACAAGCACTGTACAACTATGCTGCATCCCAGCCCCTACTAAGTGCTCTATAAGTGGTGCCGTTTTAGTAACATCTGAGGCACTTCTGTAGAATAGGACCCGGTACTAGGGATAGACCCAGGATTGAGCCCACCCTATCCCAGAGCTGCACCCCAATCTATGCCAACATTGCCAATGTGATCATTTAACAGTGAAGGAATCAAATGGCCAAGAGGTTGGGTACTTTTCTGCGAATGAGTCTTCACGGGAAAGCCGTTCCGATGTCAAGCTGAGGCAGTCCAACCTCCTGGTTCCCCTGTACCCTGTGGCCCAGGCTACTGCTGTGGAAGACCTTGAGGAGCCAGTGACAGGGGTGCTCTGCCAGGGAACTCTGTTACACTGCGGCCCGTTATCTCAACTCATGCTCACCCTAACTGTGTGGATTAAGATGTGTTTGTGCTGGATTCACCAGTGGTTAATAATTACCATGAGTGAAGTGAGGGCACATGGCAGCTGCCCAATAATAAAGGAATCATTTCAGCCCTGAAGATGAAAACTATGAAGACATGAAACATACTCATAACTTAGTGCCAAGTTTAACAACAAACACAATGATGGGTCCCGATACCTGAAAACAAAAGACAGGTGACGATGGACAGAAACTAAGAATACAATGAGAAAGGCATGAACTTTCTGTGTTGGGTAGTAGGATTTTTGTTTTAATTTTTTTGTTCTCAAGACAGGGTTTCTCTGTGTAGCCCTGACTGTCCCAGAACTCAGAGATCCACCTGCTTCTGTCTCCCGAGTGCTGGGATTAAAGGCGTGTAATACTACAACCCCACTTGAAATCTTTAAAGCCAAGCATGGTGGTATGTACACCTGCAATCCCATTGCTTGGCAGGATCAGAAGTCCAAGACCAGCTTGGGTTATATGAGATTGTAAAAAGAAACCTTTCAATGGTGCTTTTTATAAAAACTGAAGAGAGAGAGAGAGAGCCAGAGACAGAGACAGAGACAGAGACAGAGACAGAGACAGAGAGAGAGAGAGATTCTGAATGTTTCCCAGACATTTTTCAGTGTGCCTACCTTCCCCCACAGGCTGGGCACACAGCATATGCCCCCTGTGCTTTGGTGGGGTCTGTTTGGGGCAACTCTCCTACATTGTTACCCACGACAGATCATTGCTGAATAATAAAAAGCAAAAGGCTCTGGGGAGGGGGAACTCCATCTGGAGCGGGGCGCCATTTGTGACATACATTAGGCTAGTTTTAACTGAGGGTAGGCCTGTTAGGTAATAGTGCTCACACTACTAAACCATGGTACTCTAGAGCCCATGTTTCCAGCGTCAGAAAACACACAAGCGGTCACGTTGACCGAGTCCTTGGAGCTCTGAGCTGAAGCCACCAGTGAGGGCTCTGACCTCGGAGGCCGTATGAGAAAACAGCTCTCACGAGACAAGCAATGGAAGCGCTCCAGATCTTTGATTTCTGATTAGAGGGTGGTTTGCTTGACGGTTTATATAAATATGTACTTAAGTAAATGATCTCGTTAACTTAGTGCTGCCTGTTGGATGGCTCACATGGCCTTGGAGAAGAGGTGGGACATTTCCCAGTGTGCAGGATGGGGGAGGGGGCGATGCTTAACTCATAAACAAGCCTGTGTTTCTCTGCCAGCCCTCTCCCCACCCTCCCATGGGGATGGTCAACAGATACCACCGAGCAGCTCTGAAAACTGACAACAGCTTTGTCCTGTGGTCCCCGGATGGATGTTGGAAGGCCTCCTTTAGTCTGGTTACCTTACATTTTGCTTTTCCGTCAGTTAATATACGTTGCATCGTACTACACATGCGCATCCATCTACATGTAAAAAAAAAAACAAAAACAAAAAAAACACTACTCCGGAATACTACTGAAGATCCTGAAGGACAGTAAAATTAAAGCCTAAAAATTCGCCCATCTTACCAGCCTAGGACAAAAAGCAACTCCTCCTCTGCAAGGCTGGACCCTAAGAACAGACCCTGTTACTGGTGCGCTGTGCCAAGCCTTCAGGCCTTCAGCACTGCTGCGCTAAATAACCCAGAGAGATTAGTTAGCTCTGCTGACTCAGGATTAGGTCTGTGGCAGGAACAATAAACGAAGTAAACCATGAGGTGGTTGGAGGTGAGGTAAACAGAGTCTTTAAAGGCAAAATGAGGAGTAGATGAGATCTCTGAAAAAAATCCTAGTGTCAAAGGCCAATGACAAGGGTGGTGCCCTTCCAAGATTAAACAAACAGCAGAGCAGATGCCCTTGCAGAATCCGTGGGGGGTGTGTGGGGGTGTGTGTGCATGTGTGTGTGTGTGGCACTGGGTGTGTGTATGTGTATGACTGTGTGTGTGTGTGCGATCGCACATGCACGTGAAGGGGTACTGGGTGTGTGTATGTAGTATGTATATGACTCTGTGTGTGTATGTGTGTGTGTGTGTGTGTGTGTGTGGTATGTGTATGACTGTGTGTATGTGAGGACAGTGGACTTCGTGCAAGTTTGTGGCTGACTCTGATGTAGTCTTTTTTTTTTTTAAATAGGGTATATGGGCTGGTTTCAGACTCCCTATTGTAGCAGAGTGAACTCATAATCTGTCTGCCTCCAGAGTGAACTCATAATGTGTACACCACCAAGCCCAACATATTTGGTGCTGTGGATGAAACTTGGCCTCATACATGTTGTGTGAATAGTAAACAGTTCTTGTTAACAGGCAGTTGCCTCCTTCATAGCCTCCTGGGCCCCCAGAATCTATACAACATATACAGTTCTTGCTTACACTGAACATGTCTGATGTAGAAATGTGAGATTTTTATGTCTAAGAGATGCTCTACCAACAAGGCCCACACAGACCCCACAGAGGGCTGAGTGTCCTGTCAGAACCCCAAGGACAGGCCAGTACAGATGCCTGAATACTAACACCTGGCCCAGGCACACTTTCCTCCTGCCCAGTACTGGAATTACAGGCATGCGTCACCACACTCAGCTAAGACGCTTTCTTCTGTCAAGATGATCAATCTTGCAATGCTTCAAGCATATTTGAAAATAAGAGGCACTCTCTAGTCTCGGAGATAGAGTGTGTCCATGTGCACACATGTCCTTTCTTTTTCAATGTAGATGGGTCAGTAGGCGACGTCAATTTCACGAACTGCTAATTCTCAGAGCAGCGTTAACAGCTCTGGTTTTGCCTGGCAGTGGTAGCTCTCACGCCTTTACTCCCAGCACTTGGGAGGCAGAGGCAGGGGGATCTTTGTGAGTTTGAGGCCAACCTGGTCTACAGAGTTCTAGGACAGCCAGAGCTGCACAAAGAAACCCTGTCTCAAAACAAAAACAGCAAAACCAAACCAAACAAACAAAAAAGAACTCTGACTTTGATGTGGAGCAAACTTGGGTCCAACCCTTGTCACGTGACTTTGAGCACACATAGAAACCTATTGGCCCAAGTATCTTGAGTGTAGCACCCAAAGAGTGCCCTTCCCTAGAAGGGATTTTGATCTTGGTACAGGTTTCTTCTATACAGTTTTTAATAGAGTCCAAGGAGTCTGCAGCAATTCCAATACAGTCTTCCTGTGTTGTCCAGTCTCTCGCCTGAGGGCACATCCTTGATCTGGGTTCCAGTGAAAGAATCTAGCCTGTGTGCTTTCTTGCCCTTTTCTCTGTAGAGAAGAGAGGAAGTACCAGCCGTGAAGAAGACTGTGATAACTTCTCCATATGAACAAAACTCATCGCAGCTACTCGAGCGTCTCGTTTGCCTGCCTCACAGACGTCAAGCACTCACGGCACCCGAGTCAACCATCTGACCTCTCTGCACCGTGAGGGCTTGTGCAGAAGGTTCCAGGACTGTTTGTGAGCTTGCGCTAACCCAGTTCCCTGCTTATCTATCCCGAGCTGTTCTGGGACTTCCCGTTTGTAATAGTTTCTTTCTAATGCATCAGTTCTCTTTAATTTTTTTCCCAAAAAATTCTCAGTTCAACTCACTGGGATTTTTTCCTTTTTTTTTATTCTGCTGGTTATCTGCCTTCTGCCTCCTAGTCACCCACACTGTCACCCCTGTACATTGCTTCATAGAGAAATGAATCCACAAAAACACACAGATCCTTCAGACCACGGGGAACTCTACCCAATGCCAACATTGGGAAGAAGTGTCCAAAGGAAAGAGAGATTGCCAAAAAGATAGCTAGATGGCATGGGGACATCCCTCCTGGGTCTTAGCACAGAAATGACAAGGTTGGATCTGGCCCCGTCATCTATGCATAACTCTAGGGAAAAATTTTTTGAAACAGGTTTCATGTAGCCCAGGCTGGCCTTGAACTCAATATGTAGCTGAGGATGACATTGAACTTGTGGTTTTTCCTGCCTCCACTTCCTGATGCTGGAGTTTCAGGAATGCACTACCAGGTTTGGCTTTTAGTTCTGGGATGGAACGCAGGGATTCAGGCGTCTAGGCAACCGCGCTACCTACTGAACCAAACCACCACCGGGAAATGGAAATTGGGTTGAAACTGCAGGGTGGGGAGTACAGACCAATCAGGTAGTGGGAGCCTGGGTGGCTGGGTGGAGTTCCTCACCAGCCCAGGAGGCCCCGAGGGTGAAGGGGCCCTCTCAAGTTGCTGAGAGCAAGGAGAGGAACTGAGGTTTGTGAGCACGGTGGCTTGTCCGTTTCCTGTTTCGTCAGGCTGCCGCCGTGCAAGAAGAATGTCGGTACAAGAGGAGACTGGTGAGGGGGCTCGGGACGTCTGACTCACCGCCTTCCTGGCCATCTGAGACCAGAGAGACTCGGAAAGGGCTGAAGCCTCTCCTGAGACACTTGAGACAGGACCTGGGACCGGAGGTAACGGTGGAGGAAAATGCTTTGGGTGTGGCTTTGGGGTGGGACAGAAGGTGCTCCATCGTGCCAGCCTCCTGCATAGCAGCAAGTGGCAGGATTTGAGTGCTGGGGCTTGTGTGACCGGGAGACCATCCTGTGTTGGGTTCCTTGGGCAGCCACTGGGATACAGCTACCAGCTCTGCCTCACCTGTTAGCTTGGGTCACATGACTTAGTTTTGGGGGTGCTCGGCACCCATACCAAGAATGAAATGACCTTTCCCGGGTCTGTTTAAAAATCTGGGGTCCACTGTAACAGGCCCTTCTCCTTCAGCTCTCACTGAGAACTCTGGGCTAGGAAGGCCAGATCCATGCAAGACACTGTCCATCATTTCTTCTGCGTACACAGCCAGGAGGTAGGAGCAAAGGTTTGGAGAGGCGTTGACAAGCCTGTAGGTGAGGGACAGTGCCCTGCTGTCTACCTGTGCGGGAAGGAGAGCCCCCCTGCCCCAGCAAGTACCACCCTTTCCTCCAAAGCTCTAACTGGACCCTCTCATGTCGCCAAGGGGCACCACAGAGACTCCAGAAAGCCTGGGCAGTGGCCTTGTGACCTTTCTCTGAACCACACAACCGGTTCCTTTTTTCAGCAGCCTGTCCCTGCCCATCAGGCCTTCCACAAGCCTTCTCGTGTTGAAGTCAGCCAGTATGATCACTCCCTTCCAGAAGGCTGCATGGTTCCATACAACCAGGGGCAGGGACTGTGGGTATAGGAAAATTCTCTCTCTTTTGGGAGTCATTCCTACTGCGGAGAGCAAAGCAGTCGATATCTCGGTAGACCTGCAGACAAGCTAGGTGGGGATCAGGGAGAAGGATCACCACAGGCCTGCCTCAACCCCACACGCCTTCCCTCTTCCCACTCCCCATCTGGAAGGCAGCAGGACCTGCAACCCAGGGAGCTACCTCCGGTACAGAGCCTGTAGGTGACCAGGGACCAACAGGGAGGAGATGAGACCCTCACTTGGTGTCCGTCCCTCAGCCTACCTGTCCTTTGCCTTCCTGCCTGACCTCGATGAGTTGAGGGTGACTTCCAGCCCACAGAGAAGTGCTGTGTCCTTGTAACCCAACCTCAGAGGCCACAGGGACCAGAGCAGGAAAATTATTCCAAGGTGGAGCCACAGGCCCTGTTCAGGACTGACAGAAGGCATTGGGGGTGGGGGGTTAGAAGGTGAAGCTGAGCATGCTCAGTACCAGAGTCCCATGGTGTTGCCCGGGCACCCGAGTCACGACACCCAGTCTTCAGTGTCCAGCACCACCAAGGATAAGTGTGAGATTTACATCTATTGCTTTTAAAGGCTGCTGTTTCCACATACCATACGCTCGGTGTGTGGTTCGGATGTTGTCCTTTAATACTCAGATCCCTTCAAGGGACTTTTGGCCCCATTTCATAAATGAGAACCATGAGGCTTAGCAACAGCCTCCCCCTCTGTTTGGTAGGTGGTGACAGCCTGGAAGTGAGTCATCGCCTGGCCCAGTGAAGACGGAATAGTTAGGTGCTGTGGCTTTGAGGTGCATGTGTGTGATCCCAAAGTCCCCTCCATTCATTCATTCATTCATTCATTCATTCATCACAGGACATGCATTGAGGTGCGTGTGTGTGATCCCAAGTCCCATCCATCCATCCATCCATCCATCCATCCATCCCTGAACACTTGTGGGCCTTTTGGCTCCTTTTCTATGTAATTAGATAAACAGAGTGACATGTGGGAAGTCTAGGGAGCCCCACAGAGTGAGAGCAAGGAGAAAAGCCCGAGGGAAGTCACGGGGGCAGGGGGGGGGGGGAGGGGATGATACCAGGACACACACCACCTCCCTGGGGTGAGTTCTGCCCAAGGCAGAGGGTTTCCACCCGTTCTCAAGAGTCCGATACCCCAAAGCACACAGGACTTAGCCACATAGGAGCCCTTCAGAGAGGGAGACTGTCCACCTAGAGGCTTGTGAACGAGGACAGTGACCAGAGACAGACCAGAAGCCCTGCACAGAATTCTGTCCTGTGCCAGGATAGGCAACTAATTCCCAACAAAGAAACACAGGGCCTCTGCTTGTGGAGTCTGTGCAGCCTGTCCACAAGCCTGGGGGGGGGGGGGGGGGTCAGAGCGGGCCAGCTCCTGCTAGTCGCCGAGGCTGGGACACTTCCTGTGACCACCCTGACACCGAATTCCTGGGCAGCGGGATGAGCAGGGAATAGAGAAGAGCCAGCAGCTGTGAGGAGGGCTGTCCTTGTCACCACAGTCTGGTTCCAGGGGGCAGAGGAGGCAGGGCACAGCTGATGCTAGGATGTATCCCCATCTGAATCCAGCCCCTGCCAGAGCCCAAAATGAGACCAGCCAAGTCCACACCAGGTAGGTGAAGATCAGGATTTGGGTATTATATGGACAGTAGGTAAGGCCACCTAGACCTGTTCCTTGGGGACATTGCATTACAAGTTTCTCTTGTCTTGTTTGGTTGGTTGGTTTTTTTTTTTTTTTTTTTGGTTGTTTTTGTTTTTGTTTGGTTTTTTTGAGACAGGGTTTCCCTGTGTAGCTTTGGAGCCTGTCCTGGAACTTGCTCTTGTGGACCAGGCTGGTCTCAAACTCACAGTGATCTGCCTGCCTCTGCCTCCCAAGTGCTGGGATTAGAGGCATGCGCCACCACCGCCCAGCTTCTTGTCCTGTTTCTTAGGGCTTGTCTTTCTTTGTAGGACTCCTGTTGAAAGTACTCTGCATGCATGCTGGCTTAGACAGCAGCTTAGGAAACAAACAGCCTGAGCCTGGCAGGCAGGCGATCCTAAAAGGTCAGAGCCTTCCTCACAGTGTGACGCCTGCTGTGCCGAGAGCAAGTCTAATGTATGGGGTGAAAGCCTGGAGATTTAAATGAAAGACAAGATGTCCGGCAGTTTCTGCTAAGAGAATGAATGCATGTATGCATTTATTGCAAGGAGGGAGCAGCCTTATATACAGACTTACAGCACAGTGGAAAATTCCAAGTTGTAAGAGCTCATGTTTTCATAATCAGAGATTGATGCCAGTGGGGCAAGGCCAGGGCTGGAAGCCAGGACTAGAAGACAGGATGCACCTGTGATTATTGGTTGACAAGCCACTCACAGAGAGCCCCTGGGGACTGGGGCCCAACATCTCAGAGTCACTGAGCCAGGTTCTCTGAAATGGACTCGATCAGCAGCTCAAGTCACAGCCTCACCCTAGATACATAGTAGATAGAGAGAGAGGTCAGGATGTGGCGATGGGGGAGTTAGGGCAGGTTTCCCTAAGCCATGCCAGTCCAAAGTCACAGGCTGACTGCTGGGAGCTGGGAATGGAGCAAAGGGTGCCAGCCACAGACCCGATCACTTCCTGAGGGGTTGCGGCTACCTCCTAGGTCTCAAGAAATGCCACGTAGCTATTTTAGTGACGCTGCGGGCAAGAGAACAGTAAAGATGAGGACATCTTTCATTTCAGACGGGAGGATAAAGAGGACTGGGGTGTCCACAGTTCTACAAGCCACTATTATGATGATTATCATTTGTCCCTTGTGTCCCCTCACTTAGAGGTACCTAATAAGGAAGCAGGGGCTCCAGGGAGACCCACCCACCCTAAGGATTAGCTCTAGAGCAAAACAGAAACCGATGGGTGCTGGATTCCACCGGTTCTTGCAGGGTTGAGGCCTGAAGTCCTTCCTGACCCTGGGTCAGGATGGAGCCCTGTTGCTATTTCTGCCCTGACGGGGAGACAGACAGATTGTCAGTTTTCCGCCCATCTCCTGACTCCTCCCACTTGGCATCTGGCAGATCCGAGCAGCTGTTCCAGGCGCTGGAAGCCAAGCACAACAGGTGCTCGGGAGGTCACCATGATCAGCTCAGGCCCCAAGTCCTCCCCTGGCTTGGCTCGGTGGGCCGAGAGCTATGAGGCCAAGTGCGAAAGACGTCAGGAGACTCGAGAAAGCCTCCGCTACCGCCGCAACGAGACCGCTTGCCGCCAGCCAGGGAAGGTGCCCCCAAGGACCCAGCACAGGGAACGGCTTCAGAGAGCTCGGCAGCTCCAGTTCCTCAGGAGGAGAAACCTGGAAGACGAGAAGAGAGGCCAGGACGGGGAGCAAGGGCCCTCCCGCAAGACAGAAGGAGGGACAGGCCAGGTGACTGTCCTCAGGGAGTCCTTGCCTGGTGCCAACAAGCCCTCTTCCCCTGGACGGCAGGTGGGATATGTCCAAGAAAACACTGCTCCAGACCCGGGAGGCGGGAGGAGGGGGGAGGGTCTGAGAAGCACAAAGGCTGAGGGTCACCAACAAGTGATTTCTGTACGCCCCCTTCCTCAGCAATGCAACCAAGTTCCCATTAGCCATCAACCATCGCTCTTTAGAGATTATGTTGTGTCTTTAGCCTCTTTTGAAATGGAGCAGTCCTACACCTGACTGTTTGGAGAATGGAAACAATTGTACAGACAATTCCAAGCCGATAACTAGTATAAAGATCTCTTTTTTTTTCTGAGATAAGGCCTTGCTATATAATTCAAGATGGCTTTAAACTCATGGTCCTCCTGCCTCCCCTTCCTGAGTTCTGGGATTTAAAAAAAAAAAAAGAGCAGACTTGACTAGTGATTGCCATCACTCCATCCTGCCAACAGGTCCCTACTCTGTCTTCTTTTTGACACGAAAGCTCAGTAGTTCTGTGGCTCTAAGGAGAGGTAGGCAGTCCCTCTGGGCCCTCCCTGACAGGCAGGACTCTTGAGGCCCAGGAAAAGCCAAGATCTGACCCCTGTCGCTGAGGATGGAACCCAGGGCCTTGTGTGTGCCCAAGGAGCCAGCTAGCACTGAGCTGCTGCCCTCTGGTTCTCCTCTCTGCAGTTGTCTGGGGGTATTTAAGAGGCCCCTCGGAGTAGCATTCAGCAGCCTTCATTTGCTTTCCAGGTAACAGGGACGAGCTCTGCCGTTTCAACCCTGCATCATTCCTCCTCGAACATCCAGGGAGACTTGGACGGCCTCCATGCCTCACACATGGCAGCCTCTCCGCTGCCGCTGCAGGACTCTGCAATTAAGAAGCCACACAGACAGCACCGGGGTGAGAGCGCAGCCCAGATCTCAGGTTGCTTCCCTCATCCTCCCTGCTTTCCTGCCCGCTGAATCGCCCTGTCTATCGCTCAGGTACTCAGACAAAGGCAGAGGAGGCACAGCCAACGGCAAAGAATGACGCCAGTCAGCAAACCAAGTGAGTTCCCTCGTGTTCCTGGCCCCGATGCTTCAGTCCGGTCCTCTCCTCGGCATGTCTATGGGGAACGCCTCCACTAGACGCCTCAGCTGAGCAGGAGGGAGCCCCTCCCTGCCCCTACTGCTCTTCTCAGGGATGCCAGGTGCATTTGACACACTGCCTGCTCGCAGGTTTCTTTCTTTCTTTTTTTTTTTTTTTTTGGCCCCACTGTCATGTTTTCCTTCTCTTCCCAGCTGTGGAGTTGCAGTCCTAGACAAGGTAAGAGAATCCTCGTTTGGAGGGGGTTTGGGGTCAGATGGCACCTAAGCTCTAGCATTCTGGGATTCCATGATAAACTCGGGCTGGGGTGGAGGGACTCTTTCCTCCAGGATGGCCAGATGGTCCTGACCCTGCCCAGACACGTAGGCCAGCCGGGGCTCTCTGGTTCCCTCCTGAACCTCTTTCGTCTCCCTCTAGGACATCATCCAGCTCTCCGAGTACCTCAAAGTAAGTAGTAGCACCTTGACACCCGCCCGCCCACACGCAGCTCCCCGCCTGCTCTTCCTCCAGGTCAAGGTTAATCTCTCCCTCTACATTTTCCCTTCTAGGAAGCCCTACAAAGGGAGCTGATCCTGAAGCAGAAAATGCTGATTCTACAGGACCTGTTGCCTGCCCTGGCCCGGGCCTCCGACAGCTCTTGGAAGGTAGGAGATTTCTATGCATGCTCACCTCTGTTCTCTGAGCACACCATTCAGCAAGGGGAGGGGGCTGACTCGCTGGGAAGAGGCGATGGTGGGGTGCTCAGACTCGGAGGCCAAGGGGGCACGGTAAGTATATTCCTGGGGAAGGCCCAGAAACCAAGCGCCGACAGAAGGCCTGTCTTTAAGCCACAGGGAGGGAAGAAATGAGGGCCCTGTCCAGTGTTGCCACTGAGTGTTGTCAAGGCATCGACTTTCACATGGGATTCTATTTAGTCACATTCTTACTGCTGCACCCAAATCCCCGACACAAGGAACTTTTAAGAGGGGGCTTATTTTGTCTATGACTCCAGAGCACAGCCCATCATGGCCGGGTGGGTCACGGCAGCAGGGACTGTGAGGCAGCTGGTCACACAGCATCCACAGACAAGAAGCCAAGTGACAAAGGCTGGTGTTCAGCGGGTTCCTCCCCTCTCTCTTTTCCCCACTGGGTACCACAGCTGGTGGAATGGTGCTGCCTCATTCATTCCAAGTGGCTCTAACCTCCTCTGCAATCTAGAAGCTCCCTTGCAGACATACCCAGGGGTTATCTTCAATGTGACTCTAAATGCCATCAAGCAGACACTCAAACTTAACCACCACGGATCCATATAAACACACACACACACACACACACACACACACACACACACACACACACACACACGCTGGCCTGAACAATGCTCAGACTGGAGAGAACTTAACAGGTGATTTAGTCTGATTACCCAAGGTTGCTGTGATGGGCCAAGGCCTTGCCCCTAGTCACATAACCACTTAGAAAAGCCCAGGTCTCTAATGTTGTTGGTCTGTTCATTTTCTAGATAGCCAAAGGCCATGCTTTTGCTATCAACCCCTGCAGATTTGTTCCTTAGGCAGACACCTGCATTTAAAAAAACAAAACAAAATAAAACAAAAAAAAACCCATCATCTTACCATGTAGCCCTAGATGGCCTAGAACTCTATGTAGACCAGGCTGTCCTTGAACTCACAGAGATGCCTCTGCCTCTGCCTCTGCCTCTGCCTGGGATTAAAGGCGTGCGCTGCCGTACCTGGCACAGGCGCCTGCTTTTTAGAGAGTTCACAGTCTTGTAAACAAAGTATATGCCAAGTTAATACAGGCGTGAGAAATAAAAGAAATGCTTCCAGGGTGGAGCAGGCTACAGGAGGGAACAGACCACTCCAGAGAGAGGAGCCAGAGTCAATGCACAGTCACAAAGCATTGCCAGGCAAAGGAGGACACCAGGATGGTGTCTCAAGCAAGAACACGGGTAGGCAAGAGCCAGAGCATGGCTTGGTTTGGTACAATGGCTCTCTAATATTTTATCTCGGGATTCTTTATACTAATTTTTAATCAATTAATTTTTCCTAGACCAATCACATTTTCCCCTCCGTTCTTCCTCTCCCCCCAGTCCCTCCCCCAAACCTCCCCCTCTCCATTCCCCCATCCACTCCTCCTTTCTATTCGGAAAAGGGCAGGCTTCCCCACGTATAGTGGCCAGCGATGCCAGAAAGACTGGGTACCTCCCTTCCTATTAAGTCTAGACAAAGCAACCCATCTTTAAACTAATTTTTAGCTCAAACTTCCAAAGAAATTCTGATGTGTACCATATTAGAATTCACCATGTTAAAAGTTAAAATAGAAATTTAGAAATATTAATTTAGAAATAACAACAGTCAAGCACCATATGCCAACTTATGTATTTTAATGGAAAACTTTGTTTTCAGAAGGAAAAAATAGAGACGTAGCATGGCTGTACATTTTCAATATCTAGCTAAGCAGAGGACAGCTGAACTCTATTTGCTTCTAAACTCAGTCCCTTGGGACCACTTTCTGAGTTGAAGCATTTGAAGCATTCTGTGTCAGGGAGGTGTGTGCTGGAAAGGGAAAGGCCTTGCAGATCCCTTGAAAGGGTCTCTAGGATCTCATGAGTTCAGCAAATGACAAGCAGGTTGGTGCGACCAAAGCCTAAGGCAGTTGGTGTGTTGAGCCAGAAGATGCAGCCTCACAGGCCTCCATGCATCTCACCATAGAAAGGCTTATGCTTAAAGACATAAGGAGGGAAGGGGTTATGGGACACTCCAAGAAGTTTGCAGTGACACAAAAGACCATGGCTCCCACCCTGGAAACCAAGGCATCAGCCAGTGAACCTGGCTTTGGGAGTCTCTCTAATAAACCCTCTGCTTACCAAGTCATTACCGCCAACAGAGGTGAGGGGGGGAAGGGAGATTAGTCTGGAGCTGGGCATGTCAGGTGGTTTCCAGTACTGAGCTAAACTGAGAACATCTCACCCCTTAGTTCATAAGACACTTGGTAACTTTCAACTCTGTACTGGGGGCTCAGGAACAAAAAAAGAAATAGAGCCCTTGTTCTGAAAGACCCACAGCACAGCAAGGGAGAGGCCAGCAGACAATGCCCGTGCTGCAAGTGTGTGTGCAGTCTTCACACAGACAGAAAGCGATTCTGCCTCTGTGGAAAGAGGCCATTTCGGCTGGGTCCTCCTAAAGGGTGAGGAGAACCTCGCCACTTCAGAAGTTGCTTGGTGATGGGGGAAAGCAGAAGAGTGTTTGAGGAATTAGGGTGTTTACGGGCCTAGGTGGGGCAAAGCATTGGGCGTGGCCCAACGTGATGGTCTTCTCTGGCTCCTATCTGAATAGTGTCAAAGAAAGATGCTCTCTCACGCTTCCAGACCAGGAAACTTGAACCTTCTCTGGCAAGGTTTATTTCAGATTTAATGTGTGGACCTCCTTTTTAAAGGAAAAGCCACACACACAAAACAAAAAACACTTGCCTACGTATCCGTATGCGTGCACACATGTGTGTCACGGCAGACACCTTGTATTGGGGGACCGGTGAGATTGCACGACACCCCCAGGCGGAGGGTCACGGCAGGAAGTGGGTGGAGCTGAAGTCCTGCCCTCTGAAATGCCGGCCTTTAGAGGCCTTTAGAGCGACTACCTCACTACAGAACTGAACCCAACGGAGGGATCTGATCTGTGTTCGTAGCATCCCGGAGCCAAGGCCCAACTCTGAGTGAGGGGTGGGTCCCGACAGAAGCCTAGATGTCAGCTGCACTTAGTGGGAATGAGGCAGATACATTCAGAGCCACTTATGTAACGCCCAGGAGTCTGAGGCAGGAGGATTCCAAACTTCAGACCAGCCTGGGCTACATGTTGAGACCCCATTTTTGTTGCTGTTGTTGTTTTTAAGCCATTTCTACCATAAACTTGGGGGTGTTGCTTTACCTCGGGCTCCAGAGGAAGAGCTGAGGTCCCTCTGGCTGTCATTTCCACTCTTCCCATCTTCCCAGGTCTCACATTCCTCCCACCCCAGGCTCCCAGCTTCCTGTATTTAAGAAAAGCCATAGCTAACTGCTCAGCTGAAGAGTCCTTGCTTTTCCCAACACAAAAACCTCTCGGCTCCATCCCTCCCGAGAAAGCCTCACTATCAGTGAAACAGTGGCCCCATGTGATGGTTTTTGAGAAATTAACTGAATGAGTGGGGCCAGAACTGGGACCCAGACCTCAGCCAAGCGCGTGTCCACTGTGTCCTTTCCGCTTGGTCCCACGCATGATCGCCGGCTTCCCATTAGAGCCCCATAGTCAGTGCCCTCCAAGACGCTCCCGGGAGCTGCGGAGAACCTAGAGCCGGGCCCAAACACTAGAACAGAAGCAGCTCTGCCAACAAGAGCAGGCTGGAGCGGAGCACTAGGGTTTGAAGGCCGTATGGCGGAATTGAGAACGTCAGCTGACAGACAGCACAGTGCAAACTCTGCTACAGCAGAGATGAGCCATGGGCTAGGGTTTCTGTGGTGAGGGGTGGTATTTACGGAAACAGGTCTGAGAGCAAGCAGCAACAGGATCTGAAGCCCTCAGACCAGCACCAGGTGTGTGTGGCCTCCCTGTTGCCCTTCCCCACCAGGGGTGGCCTGTCTGAGGTGCTCCAGGCTCCTGGGATAAGGTCCACAGCATCCTGCAGAGCTTCTCAAAGCTAAAACACTGACATCAGCATGGGAAGATTGGGGCTGGGGGAGGGGGCGGGCGGTGAGGGGTACAGGCTCCATTTGCAACAGCTTGGCTCAACTTCCCTGCTTGCCTTAGGGAATCTGGAGCTCTGGGCCAGAGACTTTGTTCATGCCCTAGACTTGGGCAGCAGCCCCTATCCCTGCTTGAATGGGGCTATCGTGAATCGCCTTGTATTGCAACATAAATGGAAAAATAATCTGGGTTCGGGCTGAAATGCATAAACACTGAATGAAAGCAATACTGCAGGGTAGGGAGCTGCCCAAAGGACATTTCAAGAGTAACGTGTGGAGCCCGTGTTCCTTCCAGGCTTTAAGGAGGCAATCTTTAAACTTGGTGGTGGGTGTGCCTGGCTTCTGCAACCGTAGAGTCTGGGCAAAGGAAAGTGCTTGCACTCTGTTGGAAGACCAGCACAGAGGGTGGCGGGGTGGGGCCAGCTGGGTGCAGGATCCGCACACTGACAATGAACAGGCCCCTCTGGGGAATTCAGCCGCCCTACCAGTTATGCCTGGGCCTGAACAGTGGAAGCCTCTGTCCCTCTCTCTCATCTGTCCCAATCCCTGTGGTTATTGTAAATACCAAATCCCTTACTCTCTCCACTTTCCCACATGCGACTGAGAAAAACATTAACAGTAGGAGGCACTTTAAAAAATTGTTTTTGGCAAGGGTTTTTGCTTTTGCAAGGCCCAGCTGAGTAACACAGGAAGCTGAAAGGGTGGGGTCTCCCCCCAGTCCTCAGTTAGAGGAATGATCAAAACAGGAGCTCTGTGATACCACTTCCTGCCTTCCCCAGGCATCCTGACTCTCAGCGTGGGAGGCCCACCTCACCCCAGAGGCCCTCTCTGCCCCAAGTATTTATAGCTGGGAAGGACCATGAGGGTTGGAACTGTCCCTCAGTCTGATGATGGGAGGGAGCCACAGCATCCAGGCCTGGAGAAGGGACCCCCCCCCAAGAATCCCACAGGACTTGGGTGGAGAAGTCAGAGAAGAAAAATAAAGAAAACCCCTTACAGGCTCATGGCCCTAACTCTGAGAAACATGCTCTTATTAATGGCACCCCCACCGCTCCAGGCAGACATACCTGGGGTAAAACTCAAGGCTGGCAAAGGGTATTTCCACAGCTAGAAGGGGCAGCAAAGTAAGCGGAAGACTGAAAGCAAGAATTGCACCCCTACCCGCCCATTCCTTGGTCCTAGTCAAGGAATGCCTTGAAGTGCCACCAAGCACCACAAAAAAGACCTGAGACATGCGGGGGGGGGGCAGGGCAGAGATGGCAAGGCACACAGACCAGGCCGTTAGACCAGCCCAGCTTTTGAGCACCTGTGTGACTTTCTCAGACGCCGTCTCACGCCCTCCTGGTGCCCACTCCTACTCTGCTTAATATCTCTAGGGCCGTTTCTCACTGTGTAAAGGATTTCTCACGTGAGTCCTGCCAGGAAGGGAAGCCGGTGAGTGTGAACTCACATGAGCGCACACACACGCACACATGCAGACACATATGCACGCACGCACACACATATGCACACATGCGCACACACATATGCACGAACGTGCACACACATATGCACACGTGCGCACACACACACATATGCATGCACACACATATATGTGCACGTGCATGCACACACATATGCATGCACACACATATATGTGCACGTGCACGCACACACACATATGCACGTGCACACACATAGGCACACACACACACACACACTAGTACAGTCAGAGTCCTCCACAGCCACAGGTTTCGCCACCTTAGAATCAACCAACATTGGATCGAGAATAATTGACAGGAGAAAAAAAATCCCGATTCTCTCGTCTTCCTTGTAATCAGTCCCGAGTCAGTACGTTATAGATGCCATTAGCACGGCATGTCCAGCGTACTGTGAGTGAGCCAGAGATGACTTTATGCATATAGGAGGATGTGCATAGGCCATTGGCAAGTGTTACACGTTTATATGAGCGTTCTGGGTGGGGAGGGGGGGATTCCAAGAAGTAACCCTCAGTGGATGTGAAACGCAAGGGCTTGCCACTTGAGAGACCTCCGCCCCACTGGCCTGTGTGGCCTGAGGTCAGGCCCCCCCTCTTGTCTCTCTTGGGTTGTGGATGCCCGTCTTGTCGCCTCTCCTCAGGGTGTCCTGGTGTTCTGACCTTGTTTTATAAAAACACCAGGAAACTAGACTAGGATTCACTTGACTGCGTTCTAACTTCTTTGAAGGCCCACCTCCAAATATGGCTCCACTCTGGAGAACCGTAGCACTCGAGCCCAAAGGACAAACACAGTTCATTCAGCCCACGACAAGGAATCGTAGCAAATACAGATTCTCTCCAGGACCAACAGAGGCAGGAAAAGCAGCGGGGTGGGGGTGGGGGTCAGGGGTCAGGGATAATGAGAGAATTACAGTTTAGGAACCTCCCGGTCGGTGGCCTCTACCTGGGCCATTTCATTTGATAGAGAAACTCAAAGGACAGAGAAGGTCTGGGTCCAGTCTGGAGGTCCCTTGGCCTAGCACAGAGAGAAGACCAACTTCCCCCAGAGCTCCTCAGCTGGCTCTGACCCTGAAAGGGTTCAGTCCCATGACACCGCCCCAGGGCACCGAGCTTCAGCTGTGTGCAATTGGGTTGGAGAGATGTAGCTAGCCTCTTCATATATCCTTTAACCTTAGTTTACTAACTCATCCTGTCTGCTTTAGGGGCAGCTTAACGAAGACAAACTCAAGGGCAAACTGAGGTCCCTAGAAAACCAGCTCTACACCTGCATGCAGGTAAGCGTTCCGGAGAACACAGCGAGCACATTAACTTCAATAAAATGAGAACGTTTGAATCTTAGTCCTGCCTTCTAGACATGCTACCAAACGGAGGCTGCCACAGCTGCTTACTCTGTTTTTCACGTCGGTCCCTATTTGCCACGTCACCATCTCCATGGCCCCTTCTTTGTCCTAGCACGCACCCTGGGTACCCCGGGAAGGGACCCCGGCACTGAACACCATTGTTGGCTTCTAGGGAGCTGTAGGGAAAGCGCCTTGGTAAAGGTTCGTACCATGCAGCCAGTCTCCACAGACCCAGTCTGAGGGCAGGTGAAGAGCGTGTTGACACGAAACTGCAAAAATGATTTTCATCTCAGGAACAAAGTTGTTTTTAGCAGCGATCTAGAAGGAGCAGGAAGCCCACCAGCCTGGGGAAAGTGAAGCCTGGCTCTCCTTGTTCACAGTCAGCTTCAGCAGTCTCTTGATCTGGCCCAACTTCAGGTTCAAAAAAAAAATCAGTTCTCTGACAGAGAGACATTGAATACGAAAGTGGGAAGGCAGGGGCCAGCAAGATGGCTCCCTGGGTGAGGGCGCCAGGTCTCACAACCCAAAGTCAATCCCTGGAGTCCACGCGGTAGGAGGAGAGCACTGCACTGCACACCCTCAAAAGTCGTCCTCTGACCTCTCCTCACACTCTGTGGCAAGTACACACACACCTGCACACACAGCTACACACATACATGCATGTACACACACATACACGCATGTACACACAGATGTGCGCTCGCACACATGCATACACGCACACACATACACGTACACGCACACACACACACATACAGGCATACACACACACTGCGAACAGTTTATATTGGCAATTTTTTTGTTTTTGTTTTTCAATGTGAGCCGCTTTGCTTCATTAGGCTCATATTAGCTAAATTATGCCAAACCAAACTTGTCAGAGACCAGCATGCAAGCCAGAATGCAAGGCTTTAGCTTGCTGTTTGAGAAAGGTCTCATTATTAAACTGACCTTGAACTTGGGATCCTCCCACCAGCCTCCTGGTGCTGGTGTTACACACATAAGCAGCTGTGCCCAGGTGCTCTATTAATTTTCTATTGGAAGTGAAGCTGGTTGGCAACTACTATTGTTAAGTCCAATAACTAGGACATTTTTATTTGACTTCAATCAGTCACTCTATGGTTTGATTTTTAATGAAAATTCAAAAAAAAAAACAGAGCACCCTTTAAGATACAAACACAAAATTTCAGAGCATCCCAAGTGGAAGAAAAAAGACTCCCAGTGACCCTTCCTTAATCTTCATTCTCTGGATTTACCCAGATGGTTCTAGAAGCTGCCTGCCTTTCCCCCAAATCACAAAAAGGTGAAACATGAGGGGCAGCCAACACTTCAGTGGATCTGCAAATCTATTTTATCGGGTTTAGGGGTATTTTCCTTGGACCTAACACCAGTGGAAACATTTTTCCGGGCAGTGATGACGCACACCTTTACTCCTAGTTCTACAGAGTTTACAGAGTGAGTTCCAGGACAACAAGGGCTGTAACACAGAGAAACTGTATCAAAACAAAACAAACAAAAAACCCAAACCAGGGGAACATTGAATGCAAATGTATTGCCTTTAGAACACTAAGTCCTCAGATTCCTGGGACTTTCTGTTAGGCAGTGATGTGTTTCCCGTTTGGAAACTGTTTCCAGGGGACTAAGGGAGATTCATCCACAGAATGGAGCTGTGGAGTCTGGGGATGCAGGGACGGGGCTATTAATGAAAATTCCAAAAGTATGGGTCCCATTCTCCTGAATGCTAATACATCAGTGCTCAGCAAAGCCACCAGACCCCGGGAAAGCGGAGTTAGTGGAGATTTAACAGAAGCGGTGCCTGCTCTGCACCCGGAGCTCAGCAGAGGCTACCCAGCGGAAAGGACAGAGGCAGAGGCTGTGGCGGCAGCGGCGGGCACCCCTCACATAACCTGAGGGACCCCTCTGCTCAGCTCCAGCCTGAAGAAAAGGCCCACCAGACAGCTAGCATCTCTGCCCTGGAGGCATTCTCTTCGTGTGTGTGTGTGTGTGTGTGTGTGTGTGTGTATTCCAGCTGTAGGGTGGGCGGAAGTTCAGTGTGTCTTTGCTGAATTGCTTCTGGCTTACAGAAGCACACTCCCTGGGGAATGAAGAAGGTGCTGCTGGAGATGGAAGCCCAGAGGAGCAGTTACGAGCAGAAGGCTAAGGAGTCACTGCAAAAGGTGCTGGAGGAGAAGATGAGCGCAGAGCAGCAGCTGCAGAGTGTGCAGGTGGGACAGATGCGCAGGTCTGGGGGCTGGGACCCTGGGGACAGATCCCCAGGGCCAGGGGGCCAACCACGCGCTCCAGGAGCACGCTAGTCCATCCTGCACTTTAAACTGCACCAAAAGCAAACAGAGAGCTCTGTGTCTTCCCTCTCTCTGGTCTGCTCCTTGAAACCTTCTCCCCTCTGGTCTCTCTCAGCTGTCCCTGGCCTTGGCGGAGCAGAAGTGTGCAGAGTGGAGGAGTCAGTACGAGGCTCTTAAGGAGGACTGGAGGGCCCTAGGGGACCAGCACAGGGAGCTGGAGAGCCAACTGCATGTGCTTCAGTCCAAACTACAGGTAACGGGGCCCCTGGGCACAGGAGGGGAGGGAGGCAGAAGTGGGGGGAAGGGGCCCGTGAGGAAAAGTGCCCCAAAGCCTAGAGAAATGCAAAAGGATCATTCAAGTCTTCAGCCAGTGCCCACTGCCCACTTAGTACCAGACTCGCTGTTTTGCCTCTGAGTTACGATTCTGTGCTTAGAGACCTGCACTGTTTGTGCAAAAGAATTAAGTACCTGCTGGAAAGACATGAACCAAACACCAATGCCTGGGTTGGAATAGTTATTGATCAGCCTGCTAATTGCACACTATTGGAACACCATCCAAGCAGAGTACGCAGTGCACAACTGTCCACAGTTCCGCACACAATAAATGTTACTAACCTATTCACAGGTGTCAACACATCCTGACAATGCGTTTCTTTTTTTTAAGATTTATTTATTTATTATGAATACAACATCCTGCCTCCATGTATGTCTGCACGCCAGAAGAGGGCACCAGATCTCATTATGGATGGTTGTGAGCCATCATGTGGTTGCTGGGAATTGAACTCAGGACCTCTGGAAGAACAGTCAGTGCTCTTAACCTCTGAGCCATCTCTCCAGCCCAACAATGCGTTTCTTAACAAATTACTGTAAACCTTTGACATACTCAAAATTGCTTCTACGCTTTCAATCTGTCACCTTAGAAAAATCTAATTGACCTCCATAAACCTGTTTCCTCATCAGCAAAATAAGGGTAATAGTACTGTTGCAGCATGTATTAGATACGGATATCCACACAAAGTGTTTAGCATAGTCTATGGTAAACATGAGCACTTGATACAAGTTAGCGATTACTTTGCATGTGTTACCTCAGGCCTGGGTGGAGATCTCGCATTCCCAGCTACCTAAAACGTAAAGTTCGTCCACTGGGGCCGGACAGTTATCTAGCTAATGAGCCATCCCTCGGGAAGGCAGATCCACCTTAAATCGTGCCAAAGAAGGAATAATTATGCCTTTACTAAGATGGTTCACTGTCCCTTCCCAGAAAGTCTGCCCCTGGTGTAGTTACTTAAGGAGCCATAGTCATGCTACTGGGTTAAGCCAGCCCATTTCTTAGCTAAGAAAAACCTCTCTTAAGAACCTGTTCTTTTCTTTAATGTTAACAATCTTTCTTCAATTTTTTGCCATTCTTGAGATTTTAATTACATTTCTCCCTTCCTTTTCCTCCCTCCAAACCTTTCCATATATCATTCCCCGCTCTCCTTCAAATTCATGGTCCATTTTTTCACCACTTACTTTTGCATGCACGCATGTATGTGCATATACATTCCTAAGTATAAATGGTTGGATCCATATATTTCTTGTATGTGTGTTTTCAGGGCTGACCATTTGACACGGGACAGCCAATGGGGCAGGATGACCTCTCCTGCTCCCAGATTTCCTCAGTTGCCCATGGTTCTTTGTGTAGGGTTGAAGCCTCGTGGGCTTGTCCCCATCCAGCTTGGCGTGTCTGTTGGTGTCCTCCTTGTTCACCTCACGTTTGAGCAGTCATGTTGGTGAGACTTTACGGATGTCACTTCTGGTGTTACACAATCTCACCGCAAACCCCCTGATCTCTGACTTTTGCAGTCTTTCTGCCCCCTCTTCTGCAATGTCCCCCAAGCCTTAGGTGCTGGAGTTGTTTTGTACATGAATGCACTGAGGCTGGGCTCCACAAATACACATTTTGATTGGTGGCTGTTTGCTGTAGTGGGGGCCATCTGTTTCAATGATAAGTTTCCTTGATGTGTCCTTTAATTTTCTTACTAACAAATCTAAGAACTCAGAGACCCCAATTTCCCCAGTAACATATGGCATCTCAGGTGGGGCTCCCCAAATTTCTCAGTAACACATAGATTTCACTTACTCAGTCTGGAACTTTGAGAATCTTCTCCCAAGGTAAATCTTTACAGTTTCCCTCCCGAGAGGGATCGGAAAAAGCACGGCTGATGAGGGGGTGAGACTTTTAGAGGCGCAGACCCCAGTGGCCTCACAGCCCATGGCATCCACATTTCAGCCTTTGGTCGCTTCTTCCCATCATGCATAGGGAAATTCTTGGGAAAGCGTTTTGAGGTTTATAAGACGTAGTTCTTTGTGGAAGTGCTCCCAACTGCCCTCTCCCTCGACAACTGATCAAGCTGAAAGGGAAGGCAAAGTGAACCGTCTGGAAAAGTTCCGACATGGTGCGCCCTGACGTGAAGACCTGTCGAGGCATCAGGACATCATCCCCTGTAAATGTCCAGTCAGATGCACCGCTGGAGACGTGCAGGGTGCAGGGCAAGGGGAAGAGGAGGGAAGTCTGCGTTTCCCTGAGTCCCGGCCTCTGAAGCTCTACTGTTTTCTGTTCGGTGGCGCCTGCTCTGTCCCCACCCCCGCTGACCTTGCCACTGCACGGCCCCTCCTCATCCTTTCAGGTGGCAGACAGCAGAGACTCACAAATGAACCAGGCCCTGAGGCTTCTAGAAAGCGAGCACCAGGAGCTTCAGGCCAAAATCGAGTGCCTGCAAGGGGACAGAGAGCAGCAGAGCTCTGACACCCGGGACCTGCAAGGTACTTCTCTTCTTGGGGGTGTTAGGGTCGTGAGAGCCACTGGTGAAGGAGCTGGGGGAGAGGACGCTGCAGGGAGGGGCGCTTCGGCCTTCATTTCTGGCTCTCCTCTTTCCTCGTGGGGAAGGCGGGGTTCTGCCTTCAAGGACTCTGTACGCTCTCCCCTCCAGCCTGTGTCTGCGGGCAGGACCACGGCTGCTCCTGCATTAGTCGCATGCCAAGGCCATGTTCCTAATATGAAAGGGAGAGGTTAGTACAATCGCTGGCAGAGTGAAGGCTCCCCAGCCGTGCCAATGTGGGCTGAAGGGACCCGCGAGTGTGTACCCAGCGCTGAGATGTCTGTGTGCGGATGCCCGCCTTCCTCTCCAGACCTGAAAGACCCTTGACACTACAGAGGCCACAGAGAGGACCAGACGTGTTTCTCAGTTCCTCCATCCGGCCGCTCTTCTGTTTCAGTCTGTGTTCTTTCACTTTCAGATCAACTGAGGCGGTCGGAGGAGGAGAAACGGGCCCTGGTGAGCAGAGTACAGCAGTTGCAGAGTAAGTGTCCTCTTCAGTCTTAGACCTGCACAGGTGGCTTCCGGTATGCCTGCCCACGGGGCCCTGGCTCTGGTGCCTCCCGATTCTGCACACTCTCGGGCCCACTTCCTGCAGAGGGAGGGTCGCTTGCATCGCTCTTCTCGAGTTGTATATTAGCTTCTGTTCTTGTGTTTCCTCTCTAGTTTCCTCCTGTCCGTGACAACCATTTGCATTTCTACAAGAATTGCAGCTGTGTGTGTGTGTATGTGTGTGTGTGGTATGTGTAATGTGTGCATATATGGAATGTGGGGGAATTGTGATGTGCATGGGTGATGGGTATTATGGCATGTGTGCACTATGTGTATGTATAGAATGTAGGGGAGTTGTAATGTGTGTGATGTGTGACGTGTGTGTGTGTGTGTGGTGTGTGTGTGTGTGTGGTGTGAGTGTGTGTGGTTATGTATGTATATGTGTGGTGTAAGTGTGTGTGTGGTGCACATATATGTGTGTGGTATACATGTGTGTGTGTGGTTATGTATGTGTGTGGTTATGTATGTATGTGTTGGTGTACATATGTGTGTGTGGTGTACATGTGTATGGTGTATGTGTGTGTGTGTGTGTGTGTGTGTGTGTGTGTGTGTGTGTGTGTGGTGTATGTATATGGGTGCCCATGAAACATGCACAGAGGTAAGGAGGTTGGAGGGGGTTGAGTATCTCCTCTGTCGCTCTCCTCCTTAGTCCCTTGAGAAAGAGTTTGTCACTGTTTCCCAGCTAGGCTAGCCAGCAAGTCCCAGTGATCTTCCCTTCTCTGCCCCGGACCTGACAGCATTAGGGTAACAGGAACAGGTAGCCATGCCCGGGGTTTTATGTGGATACTGACAATTTAAACTCAGGTCCTCTTGTGTGTATAGCAAGAATTCTTGCCCCCCCCCACTGATCCAGGCCCCAGAACTGTCCATTTTAAGATGTATTGGGCTTTCTCAGATAGTTCTTTTCCTATACATTCCATGTATGCGCATGAACGTGTCACTCAGATTTTCTCACTAGAGGTGAGAAATAAGCATCCATCGAACCCCTACATAAGAGTCAAATACCCTAAACACATGCATTGGGGCATACAATGAGCAAAAGTAACAGCTTCTTAAGAAATTCCATTCTAAGGAAGTCCAAGGGTAGAGGTTCCATGGGAAAGAAATCAATGTATGTCAAGAAACTTAAAGGAAAAATTAGTCACTGCTATGTAGAAGGTCATCTGAGAACGTGTTCCTCATAAAGAAACAAGCAAACACTCACAGACATGGTAGAAACTGACATAAGGAAGACATATTGGTAATTAAGGGTCACATTGAGCGACTTGGACAAAAAAAAAAAAAGAGCTGTTTTACAGTTGTGGAGGCTGCAGTCCAAAAACAAGCTGTCCAGAGGGTTAGCGCCTTCTAGGGTGAGGGCCTGCTCCAGGCTTCTCTTTAGCTTTGCCTCTGGCTTTCTTATTTGTCTTCAGTCTCTTTCCCTGGAGCATATGTGGGTCTAGGCATTCCCTTTCTTATAAGAACACCAGTTATCTGGACTAGGGCCCATCTTAATGATCTTATTTTTACTCAGTTACCCTTTCAAAGACTCCATCTCCAAGGAAGGTCACATTACAGGGGTCAGAACTTCAACACAAAAGTTTTGAGGAAAGATATTCGGTCCCTACCAGATGGTGGCATCTGAAATGAGTCTTCACTGTAGGTCTGCTAGCACACACAAGTTCCTTTTGTCTCCCAACAGGTCTGCTTCAGAAACAGTCCTTACACCATCGAGAACGGGAGAAACTCTTAAAGAAAGGTCAGCAAATTTACTCCCACTAACTGTTGCTCTCCCTTTGTCTGCCTAGAGGCTGGGAATGGACTACATGACTTCTTGGGGTCCCCCCCCCCCCGCTCCTGAGAGTCTGTGAAGTCAGGGAGGTGGGGAAATGTTTTGAGAAACCATCACTGATCTGGACATTTTTTAGTCAGCCTTCCACCCTGAGAGGTACATAAACGGTGGGAAAGGGTTTCTACTTCCTCTGAAAACACTGTCTGTGTTGAACATTTCAATAAATTGATTTTGAATTCAGAATTCATGTCAGTTTTTACACAGTTGACTTTAGAAATCACATCCAGCTCCTCAGCCCAAACTACACAGCAAACCGGAGTCCTCTCACGCCAGCCCTGACCAGGCGCAAGCCTGCTAAGGGCACGTCAGCCACGTAGAGGCCCCCAGTGGCTCCTCTTGCTGTCCACAACACATAGCCTGTTTTATTCTCACAACTACTGGGTGTAATACAGGAGAATGCAGATATGATTGTGCCCAAATAGCACAGACAAGAAAATAAAGGCCTTTAGCCATACACATTAAGAACTGAACTAAAAGAATTACCCAGAACTTGACTCTAGTCCAGTGCTCTTTTCTCCAAAACTCGGACTACAAGGTGGCTGAAAACCCAGCTTTAAAATATTAAGAGGCAGTCTAGAGTTGAGTAGAAGCATTTAGCAAACCTACATGAGAAACTAAATACTATACGACAATAATGAAACAACTCCAATTAGTAAGCATTCATTAAAACTATCAAATTAATACAAACTCAAAGAAAAACAGATGTCAACCTTACTTCATGGAATGCAAGCCCAGCTGGGCGTCTAGGCCACAGGGTGCACCAGAGTTCTTTTTTGTGTTTGGTTCGTTTTCAAAACAGCATCTCACTACATAGCTTTGGCTGTCCTGGAACTCACAGAGTCACCTGACTCTGCCTCTGCCTCTCATATGCTGGGACTGAAGGGTGTACCACTATGCCCACAGCATCAGAGTTCTTTAACATGGACTGTTCTACTCCATCCAGTGAAGATGAGGACAAACCTGCCGGCTCCCTATTCTCCAAGTCACCCTAAGGGTTGTCAGTGACAGGGCCAGCCCACACACACAAGGGTCACCCTAAGGTTCTCAGTGACAGTGACAGAGCCAGCCCTCACAAGCAAGGGTCACCCTAAGATTCTCAGTGACAGTGACAGAGCCAGCCCTCACAAGCAAGGGTCACCCTAAGGTTCTCAGTGACAGTGACAGAGCCAGCCCTCACAAGCAAGGGTCACCCTAAGGTTCTCAGTGACAGTGACAGAGCCAGCCCTCACAAGCAAGGGTCACCCTAAGGTTCTCAGTGACAGTGACAGAGCCAGCCCTCACAAGCAAGGGTCACCCTAAGGTTCTCAGTGACAGGGCCAGCCCTCACACACAAGGGTCCTGCTGTCACTGAGACTCTGGCTGCTTTTTTAGATCAGGCTTTACCTGTGTGGAATCCAAAGCTCTCCCTTGATGAAGCAAAGCCCAAGAGTACAGGGGAGGAGAAAGACTGGGAGCTCAGAGACCAGCTACAAAAGGAGACATCTCAGCTCCAGGCCGAGGAAAAGGAGGTGAGGAGGCAACCTCAGAGCATAAGGGATCATCTAGACTGTGAGTGCTCATCCAGACTGAGAGTGCTCATCCAGACTGAGAGTGCTCACCTAGATTGTGAATGCTCACCTAGATTGTTAGTGCTCCCTAGATTGTGAGTGCTCATCCAGACTGTGAGTGCTCATCCAGACTGTGAGTGCTCATCCAGTCTGTGAGTGCTCATCCAGGCTGTGAGTGCTCATCCAGTCTGTGAGTGCTCATCCAGACTGTGAGTGCTCACCTAGATTGTGAGTGCTCCCTAGATTGTGAGTGCTCATCCAGACTGTGAGTGCTCATCCAGACTGTGTGGGTTCATCTAGATTTGTGGTTCTCAACCTGTGGGTCACAACACTTTTGGGTTTGCATATCCAATATTTTGTATATCAGATATTTACATTATGATTGATAGCATCAGCAAAGATACAGTTTTGGAGTAGAATGAAATAACTTTATAGTTGGAGTCAGTACAACATGAGGAACTGTATTAAAGGGTCACAGCGTTAGGAAGGTTAAGAACCATTGGTCTAGACTGTCAGGAGCAGGGAAACCTGCAAGGCAAGTGGAAAGCAGGAACTTCCAAGCTTAAATTGTGACTGGATGCCCACAGATGTTCACTTTCCTCTACAAATTCCTTTGCCCTTGGGTAGACTTGCAATCTTTCTCCTTCCAAATTTATAACAACCCCTATCAAGGTTATATGGTAGCCTATTAGGAAGTCAACCAGAAGATACAATATTTGCTAAACACAGTCACTCCTTAAATTCTGTCACATACTAGGTATCACAGTGCTTTGTTTTACATAGTATCTTTTAAGTAGCAAACACGTTCCTAGGAATATACTTCCAAACTCACACCTCCTTGGAAGTATGCAGAAACAACTAGCTCCCAAGGAAGAGAGGCTTGTCCTCCAACTACTTCTAAGTCTTTCATGCCATAAGAACTTACTTTTTAAGAACTTGTTTTTTTAGTATGCCCACTTACAAAGCATGTTCACAGAGTCATATAAAAGCATGTGCATGTATTGTGGCCAGTAAGCTGGTTCAACAGGTAAAAGTACCTGCTACCAGGCCTGATAATCTGAATTCAATCCCTGGGACCCACATGGTAGAAGGAGAGAAGTGACTCCAAGGGTTGTCTTCTAACTCCCACATATGCACTGTGATACTAGCATGCATACATATACACATACACACACATATACACATACACACACATCATACACACCCATATACACGTACACCCCAACAACAGTAATAATGTAAAAAAAACTTTAAGCATTTCCATGTATAAAATATAATATATGCAGCATAAACAATTGTGTAACTCAACATATTCCTGATACACTATGTGACAGGAAGAAGACTAACTCTCTGAGAAAAGCGGGAAGAAGGGCTCACTCAAAACAAATGAAGGAGTATAGTACTCGGGGCAGTCTGCTTCCAGAGTTATGTCCCAAACTGAATTGGTGGCACTTTGTTATGCTGTCCCCATTGCTGAGGGCTGCATTCAGAGTTAGACATCCTCAATGACAAGTACCTCTCCAGTCTTAGAAAGCTACAGCATTGTCAAGAAGTCCTGAGATACAGCCAGGAGCCATCTCCCAGAGCAAGAGGGTCCATTCTTGTCTATAGCCCTACATGACAGCGGGACCATCCCTTTTTAATACCCAGCCCTACATGACAGTGGGACAGCTCCTTTTTAATACCCAGCCCTACATGACAGTGGAACCATCCCTTTTTAATACCCAGCCCTACACGACAGCGGGACAGCTCCTTTTTAATGCCAGACTTACCGATAAACTGTATCCGTCCACACCAACATCTGGTCATCCTGTCCTGTTCCACTTGATTTACATTATGCCAACAATATGGCAATATGAAATAACAAGAGTGCTATGAATTAATAGGAAAGAAACGCTGACTATGATCCACCCAATTTTCATGTATCTCTTGAGTCTGGAAGACACTGGATGGAGCATACTCTGAAAACCCGACACGTTCTAGATCCAAAATACACCATGCATGCACAAGCATGATGCTCCAAAGCTGCAGATGATTTGGGGGCATGTCGGGTTTGGGGTTTTAGGGTGCCTTTTTATTAGGTCTGCTCAACTGGGAAAGTCTATACACTTAGTACAGAATGCAAAAAAAAAAAAGACAAAATTTCAAACATTGCTAATCCCAAGCATTTCAGAAAAAGACACTTATTAACCTGTGTTGACTCAAGTATGAAAAGGGTTCCCTTTAGGTTTATTGTGAACATAATGACAAGGACAGGAGGGAGGCTTAAAAAGCACTGGGGCACACAAAGAGGGTATTGTTTTGCTGAATTCGTTTCTACTTTTGAACATTCGTATCGGCATTTAAATATCTGTCCCCTATTGGATATGAGTCTGTAGGCCGTTAGTAAAGTGGTTTTACCTCAAGGGAGGTGACAGAATATGGGGGAGACACTGAAGCAAAACTGTCTTTTCTGCCACCAACGTGAGGTTTCCTACTGGGTCAGGACACCAAAGGGCTATTCATGCCTGCGTTTTCTCCAGCTAACTCACAGAGGCTCTCTCCTGTCTCCGCCTTCTTCCACACAGCAGCAATGTGGCCACTGGCTCCCGGTGCTGATGGTGGTGATTGCTACAGCACTGGTGGTGTTCCTGGCAAACAAAGAGAACCTGGCGATCTGAATAACTTCCTAGCACCTGTCTGTCTGGGTAACATGCAGAAGCAAACAATTCCATGAAAAACTTGAGCTTTTGGGCTTTACAACTTGAGTTTTCTCTCCAAGTGAATCCAGATCCCTAGTTTTGTTTTGTTTCGTTTTCCACCATGCTCTAAGTAAGCATGACTATTCCTCAGAAACTGTATATTCCTGGAAAACGCTGCATGAGTATGACACTTGGACATCATGGTCTCATAGCCTAATTCAATTCAAGTTACATAAACACGCCAAGTGCCCAGTCCTTCTCCTTCCCTGCAAGGCACTATCCACTTAGGGCAGGGCCGCCACCCAAGGGTATGTTGCTTCGTCTCCACAACGCTCCTTCTCCGACTCTTTTTCCTTCTATGTCTTATTCAATGGAAAACAGACAGACACCTCTGCTAAGTACATAGGAACTCCTACTGTAGAAACGGAAAACATACTCCTGCTGCCAACAGCTCATCCCATTCACCTAAGTGGCCAAGTGACTGCACAGCATTATTCCCACGACACTTAAAATGATGCTAATTCAGCGTTATTTGCAACAGCCAGAAGTTGGAAGCAACCTAGGTGCTCCTCAAACGAAGAATGGATGAGGAAAATGTGGTACATTTACACAACGGGGGTTAAAAAAAAACCAATGGCATCTTGAAAACTGCAGGCAAATGGATGGATCTAGAAAAAGTCATCCTGAATGAGGGTAACTCAGACCCAATAAGACAAATATTATATGTGCCCACTCGTAAGTGGCTATTAGATGTAAAGCAAAGGACACTCAGCCTACAGGCACAACCCCCTGGAACCAAGGTAACAAAGAGATCCCTAAGAGAGACACTCACGGGAAGGGATCTGCCTAGGGAAGGGAAAAAGACAAGATCTCCTGAGTCAATTGGGAATTTGGGGGTGGGGGATAGGGAGAAGGGCTGAAGGGGAGAGGGGAGGAGAGAAGGGCAGTGGGGAAAACCATGTAACTCAATAAAAAATATTTATAAAGAAAATATATAAAAACATATTGAAATAAAGGGTGCAATGTATTTATTTTTTAATGATAGTGACTGAAATCTTCCACGCAGAGAAAAGCATTCACCTTCTCAACAGGCAGAGGAGCTAAGTCAGAGGGCCACAGCGGGCAGTGTGACTATCTCAGAAGAGACACTGAGGTCACCAAAGTCATTCTGAGTCCTAAATCGGGTTCTGAGCTCCTTCTCCCAGGTGCTTAGGGAGTCCTTCAGGGCTGGGAACAAACTCTCTGGGACACTAAAGGAGTAGAGCAGAACTGGAGGTTGACCGGGCAGCCATGAAATCTGGACAGTGAACACCCGCAAGGGGGTCATGGCTAGACAGTTGCCATCTTCGTGTTTCGGGTGAAACGTGTAAGAGACAGGATAGCCCAGGAGTATCCCAAACACGGTGCAGAGATTCCAATCCGAGGAGCACAGCTTGCTGCGGGAGACTCCCAGAGACACTTGCCTCCGCAGTCCTTGAAGATGTGTGACGATCTCGGTTACGAGGGACTTCAAGCCCTGGAGCTGCTCCAGCGAACAGACAGAAGGACGAGGCCGGGTGCGGGACACATCCACTAGAGCGGTGGTGCCGAGCAGCACCTGCTCCAAATGCCGACAGGCGTGCTCAAGGCTGACAACGAGGTTATTCTCCCCAATCTCCAGGACGTGAAGTCCCGAAGTCAGGACGCCCAGCTCCTGCAGCTCCTCCAGATAGCTCTGGAGCGCCGACCCGCCGGCCGAGTTGCAGTCGTAGAGGACAGCCGGCTTCAGCCCGCGGGCCACGGCCAGCACCTCTCCTGCCAGGCGAAGGCAGGCGGCGCGAGGCGGGCCCTTCCTCTTTCCCACGCCCAGGGTCTGCCTAGCGGCTGCCACCAGCAACTGGGGGCTCGGTGCCGGCATGAGAGATCTGGACGTGACGCGCAACGGGGCCCCGAGTCACAGCCCAGCTCCCAGCACTTGAGGAGGGGCCCAGAAAACAACATGGCAGGGGGGAAATAACTGGCACCTCGGGGCAGGGTCACCGGTGCTGCATACACCCCGTTTCCCCGGCCGGCTTCAGCTTCCCAGAACCGTGCTTCCTCCCGGCCACATTGACACGGTCCTCCGGCTGCGGTTCTAAGTTTGACCCCGGTGCTATTTTATGCTGCTATTTTATGCTCAGGAACGGGAGTCCCAGGCAAAAGAAAGTTCCGGCCATTTCTCCCCCCCCAAAACTGTCCGTCTGGAACAGAGCTCCGGGCTCCAAACGCCAAGCCTCCCACTGCCAGCTCCCCCTTAGGCTCCCGCAGCAGCCGGAGCAAAGCAACGTGAGCGAGGACTGCGGGGCCACCACCGCCTCGTCCCCCCAGCTCAGACACACGGGTAAGCCAGAGCGCTCTGACTCAGGACACGGGGGCTGGCACTTCCGCTGCAGGTTCCGGGGACGCAGGAAGTCCTTCCGGCTCCCTCCCTAGCAGCGTCCCGGGACGCAAATGACTGCACCGCGCGCCGCACGCAAAACTGCGAAAACCCCGCGGCTATGAGGAGGAAGCCGGAGGAAAGACCGCCTGACGCACACGCGGACCGCTCTTCACGCTGTCCTTCCGTGGCGTCACTCACAGCGCGGACGCCAGCCGGAACCATTGACGAAGCGGCGGGCGGGTGGGAGAGGGGGAAGTACGGCCGCCTTAGACCTGCCCCACCGGTAGAACTGAAGCCGGCCGGCTTGCCGGGCGGAAGTGGGAGGTCGTATCCGGGAACTGGTGCTGTTTGTCAGTCCGCGGAGTAGCCGGGACACCTCTCCTGTGGGCAGTGCTGTAAGGCTTTCACTTATTTATTTTTTAATGTCCATAACTCCTGGACGTGGCAGGTTGAATGCCAAGACCGTGGCTGTGCACCGCTTTTTTAAAATGTCTTACTGTGTGGGCGCGTACTACAGCGCGTGTCAGGTCTCGCTTCCACCTTCTAAGAGGAAACCCGCCGCTATTTTATTGTGTTATTTGACCCGGACAGCGTTTTGTGCAGCTGGGGCTGGCCCGGAACGGGACTCGTCACTCTGTTTTATGCCGTGTTTATGCAGGGACCGAGCTCTGGACTTGGTGCATGTTAGACCGACACGACCTGAACTCCCTCTGCAGCCCTGAGTGTTCGCTCTCAGTGCGCCTGGGCGCGAGGTAAATACTGCGTTACCCAGCACAGCAACCCCGTCTCACGGGGCTCAAGGCCCGGGAGTCCAGTTTGCTGATCATTTCATTTTAAGACATTCATCTTTATCTTTCATTCATATGTTCCTATGTGCGGGTGCCCAGGAAGCTAGAAAAAGGAGCAGGATCACCGGAAGTGACAAGTGTTGTGAGCTCCCCAACATGGGTTCCGGGAACCGAATTCAAAACTTTGGAAGAAAAGCAAACACTCCTACTCACCGAGTCCTCTCTATAGCCGCGCTGGTGTGTGTGTGTTTGAGATGATGTCATGCTATGTGCCCCTCAAACTTGGGATAGTCCTGCTGCCTCCACCACTAGAGTGCTGAAGTTAGAGTCTGTGCCACCATGCCACCAGTCAGGGGATTCAAATAAGAATTGAGGCTCAGGTGGTGGTGTGCCTATCCTTGGAACCAAAGTGCCACCATTTTCATGAGTTCAACTGTGTGGTCTTGTCCAACTAAACTTAACCGTTGACATTCCTTTATAGATATTCTGCCCTAACTGAATGTTGCCTCAAGGAGGTATATAGGCTGGGGAAAACTAGGGAGGGGAATGTCATCTAGGATACCATAGTAGAGTTAACATCCATAATGGGTGCAGAACCTCCAGCATAGCTGGGTTTTTGTTTGTTTTGAGACAGGGTTTCTGTGTGTTATAGCTCTGGCTGTCCTAGAACTCAACTTTGTAGACCAGGCTGGGCTCTGACTCAGGGAGATTCACCTGCCTCTGCCTCCGGAGTTCTGGGATTAAAGGCGTGCACCCAGCTTTAAGACCACCCACAATCCTGCCCATCACCCCTCACCCACTGCTCTGTAAGTAAGCCTAATGCACTCATTGGTTCCCCGGGGTTGATTTTAGTGGAACCATGTCCCCATCTGCCACTGGGACCTGAGGAAGGGAGGTAGATGTTGCCTTGCCCCTTCCCCCAGAGAAAAAATCTCACAACAGGCAGTTAGGAAGGACAAGTGTTCACATAAGAAATTAAAGCCTTTTAAACTACCAACGAGTTAACATGTATCTCTGTGAAGGGAAATCCTAAGAAAACTCTAGTCTGGAAAAAACAGTTCCAATTTATGAGCATCAGAATGAAGACCTGGAGTAGAGGCTGGCTCTATCTTGCTGGTACCTTCAGACAGAAAAGAACCAACAGTGAGTTAAAGACAGACAGTACATAAGGAAGACCACTTGTAGGGCCTGTCAGTCTAACATAGGTTCTGAGCCCAGAGGGAATCAGATCTAAAAACCAATACAACTAATACTCCAGCTTTATATTCTTTTCTTTCCCAAATTTATTTTATATCCCCTTGGTAGTTAGCAATGAATCTCCAGACTGGAAGACTTAGTTCATTTATTACAGCACAAATGTCTGAGACCACACTGTATCAGACATCGCTGAAGACCCGGCAGCAAATCCAAGACAAACAGTCATGTAGTACATAGATGGTGAGGAGTTTACACAGAACAAGGAAGTTTGGGATGCTATGGGAGCATACAGCCAGGGACTTAACTATGGGGAGGAGACCAGATATGACATTTGCCTTCCCAGTTTACCTGTAGCGGGTTCTTTTTAACTTTGAGTTAACCTAGAGTGCACTTGGAGGAGGAGGAGGAGGAGCAGCAGCAGCTAGGGAAAATCCTCCTCCCTTCTGAGTCTTGAGGGGAAGGCAAGGGAGAAGACAGCTAGGGAGTGAATGGAAGAGGCAGGACACTGAGCCCTAAGAAAGGATACCTAGTGTCTGTCACAACCAGGGAAAGCTTTGCTGGAGACGATCAAACAAGACCCCTGCATGTGCTCTCCCACCAGGGGAAGCTTTGCTGGAGATGATCAAAGAAGACCCCTGCATGTGCTCTCCCACCAGGGGAAGCTTTGCTGGAGATGATCAAACAAGACCCTGCATGTGCTCTGCTCTCCCAGCATTCTGCAAACCTGGACTGTCTAGTTGGGACCACACAAAATCGTTCCTCCTCCTAACACACTGCCTCCTAACATTACAGCCTCGTGCTGGAAGCTCGGCCCATGGCACTTCAGATCTTACGCTTCAACCTTCTCCACTGGTTCCCGTTAGCGGGCCTTCCCGGATGACCTGTCCCATTTCACCTGGCCCACAGCTGTCCTTCCACTTTCCCTATAGCGGGTCATTTTTAACTTGGAGCTCCCAGATTCCATGGAGCAGCCACCCCCTCAAGACTCTCTTCACCTCAACTCACCAAATGATGTTACTCCCATTTCCTCCAAAAGAGTAATAGTAAAGCTCCTATGCCTGGCATGATTCCCAGTCTGTAAATATCCAACGTTTAAACTTACATCTAAGCATCTCTTTTAAAGAACTTAGCATACAAAGAGTTTTACTCTGCCATTTTCTTACTTTGTGTATGTGTGCACAATTACACTTTGTTTTTATTCACACACGCATATCGACCACTTTTTTGGTTTTGTTTTTTTGGTTTTTTTTTTTTTTGAGATAACAGCCCTGGCTGTCCTAGAACTAGCTCTTGTAGACCAGGCTGGCCTCGAACTCACAGAGATCAGCCTGCCTCTGCCTACCAAGTGCCGGGATTAAAGGTGTGCACGCCACCACCATCAGGCTCTGCACTCAACCTTTCCTAACTCACCCAGACTTTTCTTAGTTCTGCTTTTAACAACCTCCTGAAAGAGTTTTAAACCAAAGCTCAAGCACCCTAAGTAAAACTCACTGTCACCCAAAAGCAAGCTGAGCTTCTAGACTTTAAATCCATCCCCCACTCTCAGTGGCTTGAAAAGCAGGAAGTGCTATTCTTCATTTAAGGTGAGCAGACGACACACACGGGCTTGGGCCCTGGTAACATGAAACAAATAAACACCAGCATTCAAGAAGACTGGAGCCTGTAACCGGAGGTATGCATCTGGCCTTTTGTCTGAGACTTGGAATTCAAATAAGAAGGTGCTGGGGCGGACACTCTGTGAGACACAACTGTGGTGCCCTGTGCCCCTCATCTCCATTGCTCACTGCAAGAGACAGAAGCAGGCTTGAGCCTCGCCTGGAAGAGCACTGCCCAGACCTCTGACATACGTCATACCTTATTCTTCCCAATTGGAAAAGCCCCAATGTCAGGGACAGCCTTATAAGTCTCTTAACCAAGAGCCGGCCCTTTTGCTGTCAGAGTGTACCCTAGATGCCCCCACTCCCTCCAGGTCATCCGCAGAAGGGGATGAGAATAAGGAGAGCTTCTACCCGGGGGGGGGGGGGTCCCCCATGTAGTCGCACACACTCACCCACCCCACAGAGAACACGGCCTGAGCGGTGACAAGATAAAACACCTGACAACCATTCTTTCGTGGAATCCCTAGGCTTTCCCTGTCACCAGCTTCCCCCTGACACCCACTTTTTATGAGCCTGAACTCCATGGGTTGGGTGACTTTCAGACTTTAGCACCCATTTCTATTTAGATATCAAACCGGTTCCTAGGCAACCAGTCAGCTCCTCTCTCTCTCTCTTACTTCCCCCAGCAGGGAGCCAACCGACTGTACTAGCAGAACAAGTCAAACAGAGTTCAATTCAGGGTAGATCAGTGCCCAAGGAACTTTGATGAAAACGGGGGGGTAGGGTATGTGGCCTGAGAACAATGCGGAAGGGTCCTGCTCCAGGCAGTTTTGTCTCACACAAGTAGAGGAAGGTACTCAAGTCAGAGTTTTAAGGCTGAGTGCAGCTGGACGTCATCCCAAACCTTATTTATTTACAAGTGAGACATCTGAAGCCCTCAAGCTAAAGGGACCTGCCTCCCGGAAGCACAGCTGCAGCTACAACTCTGGCGTCCCAAATCAAATCTCCTACACCCACTGTGGAAGATCTAAAAGGAACCCCTCAGAGGGGTGGCATCTTGATAAGTTAAAGAGCAATTTTCAAAACTAAGAATATTTGGAAAGTCACAGACCTCTAAGGATGTCAGAGAAAGGAGACTTAAAAAGTTGGTTAAGTGTGAATTAAAAAAAAAATCTGTATGTACAATATAAAAAAGAGAGAGGAGAGAAGAGGACACACCGCCGTCAGGATCACTGGGCAGGCAGGGCAGGGGGCAGCTGCATGCTAGGGGCAGGTTGCATGGGCTGCCAGCTCTCCTGGGTTTGAAGGATGCGGTACAGCTGCTTGAGCTGGGCGACGATGTTATCTTTGATGTCTGGAGTGGAGATCTGCAGCCGAACGCTGCCACTGTCAAAGGACCGGGTGAAATCACCGGAAAACATCTCGTAAATCATCCGAGCCACCACTGGAATGACCTGTTCAGGCAAGAGCACACAAGTTTCCCCTGAAGAATGGGTATGTTTAAGTAGCGGAGGAGCCCTGACATTGATGAAGAACTCCCCACCCAAACATATAGGTACTGGTGAAGAGCTATGGTTTCACTAGTCAAGATTCGCCTTAGAAGCTGGTTAATCTAAGGTAAGGAACCTGAAGGTAGCGTCATTCCACATGCCTAGCCAGACGACTTCTTAGCAAAACTGTGAATCAAGCGACATCCACGACCTATCTTGGTGCACAGTTCAAGTAGACTTGCTACCATCCCCAGAACATGGCTAAACATCTTACAAAGATGACCAACACTTTTCATAAGGTGAAGGAAAAATGTTACATCTCATAAGGTGTTAGCAAGACCCTAACACCAGCAGGAGAGTGAAAGGCCAAGTACCCATTAAATTGTTCACCCATGATAAGAATGTGGTATTAACCAGCACAGTCCTACGCTGCAAAGCTGAAGTCCCCTGCCTCTCTGAGGGCGTCAAAATACACATGCAACCCTAGATGCTCAGCCAGGACCCATCCCAGATGAGGGTTAACGCAAACAAGAGTTGCTGGTACGATCTTATCCCCTCACCTGAACCAAGATGAGCTTCCTCTCCAGGGGCTTCCCATCCGGCCACTCTTCCCCGAAGCATAAGTAGATCTCAAAGGGTGGCTGCTTTTCTATCTGTCCTTTCTGGTGGGCAATGAGCTCTGCAGAAGATGAGAAAGCACTTGCGGATTGTTCTCTATCCGTGTCAGTAAAAATCATCTTTCATGCAGCCCGGTACTGTAGCCGCAAGCTACACGTGGCTATTAGTTTTAAATAAGTAACTCCTTGGTCATATCAGTCGCATTTACATGCTGTCCAGACGTGTGTGACCAATGGGTACCAAACTGGACAGGACAAAAATGTAACTTTTCTATCATTTCAGAGGGTTCTACTGGACATTGAGGATACAGGCTCGGGATTCAAACCATAAATTTATAAAACTCAATGCTTTCCCTAAATTTTGCTTCCTTAAATTAGCCACCCAGATATTTCCTGAAAGAAGAGTGTGAGCTTTGCTGACAACGATGAACAAAGTGAACTTTCCAGAGTGACAGATAACCTAACATTTGGGAGTGGGGGGAGGGTGTCCCGGCAGGACTGCTTCTTCTGTTCCCAAAGAAGCCATCACCAACCTCAAAACCCCTTCCACGTGGACAGCCTTGGAGTGCACCTCTCTCTGTGACTGCTTAGAACCTAACTTAGAACCAGGGCTCTCTTGTCCCTTGACTTTTGGCTATACCAAATAAGTTTAGGGGAGGAGGGAGGAGGAAGAAGGAAGATCTCCAGGGGGGCATCTCCCTGTATCAGTCTTCTAAAAACAGACTCACCACTCAGGAATGTTTCCAGACAAAACAACTTGACCTTCTTCTGCCTCTCAATCAGGTTAGGAGCAGCAAGTGAGGGGGCGCACGGCCCGGACCAATACACTTTGCACTGGCACAGCCTGATGGCGTAAATGGCGTGCCCGCTGACCTCCAGGATCAGTCCCCTGTCCATGACATCCAACAGCTTACTGGTGAACAGCTTCTGCTTCTCATTAGTGATATGCTCTGGACCCGGGAACTTGACCTGCTCCAGGCTGACAGGACCAAAGAGCTCCTCCTGGTCGGGCATGGGGCCCAGGTCCCCATAGAAGAGCCGGCAGCCCTGAGGATTGCTCACCGTCATGGTTTGCCCATACTCCTTCCCACGGTACTGAAACTTGATGTCCAAGTCAGTCACTGCAAGGTGAGAGGTGACAGTGAGTCCAGTTGCTCAGCTTTGTCTGTCCATCCCTAACCCATGTGAGTCCACCAAGATCAAGCCATCTTTCAACCAGCTTTCAGGAAGGCCACTGTCAGAGCGATCCTTCCTGCAATAAAGGGAGATGTCAACACACTCCGGATTGGCCACACAAAAGGACGCCTTGTAGCTGAGCGTAAGGCCCTGCTGCATTCCCTGCCCAGCTGCCACACCCTCAGGGCTGGAATCTAACCCCACACACCCAGGTCACATCACATTAAAGATACATTGGCAACATTTGAGGGGGAGTAGGTAGCTACTGGCCACATGTGTCTACCGAGCACACGTGTTACTAATGTGACCAAGTATCTATTTGACATCAATTAATTTAAATTAATAATCACATGCAGCTAGTGGCTACTGTATTATGAAGCATGGGGGGAAATGGCGTTTATTGAACAGACAGAAAATGATCATACCATCATATCTCCAGAGAATGGGCAACAGAAGGAGCTAAAAACTAAAAAGTGTCTGGTTTGGGGGGCTGGAGAGATGGCTCAGCGGTTAAGAGCACTGACTGCTCTTCCAGAGGTCCTAAGTTCAGTTCCCAGCAACCATATGGTGGCTCACAACCATCTGAAATACATGCAGGTAGAACACTATATACATAATAAATAAATCTTTAAAAAAAAAGAGTCTGGTTTGCATTTTCACTTTTTTTTCTGAGACAGGGTCTCAGGTAACCCAAACTAGACTTGAACTCAACTAGTTAGCAAAGAATGGCCTTGAACTCAATTCCCCCTACTTATAGCTCCTGAGTGCTAGGATTACAAATGTATGTCACCTTATCTCGTTTAATTTAGTTCTGGGAATCAAAACCAGGGCTTCCTGCACCGCAGGCAAGCACTCTACCAACTGGAGAAACAAGAAGAAATGCCAAGCCATCCTTCTGAGAAATCATGTATGTTCGTACACACCCTGAACCTGTTCCACGTGTACTATATAAAAGAAGGAGTACATTCTCACTCAGCAAGTCTCCACCGCCCCTGACATGCCCTACCAAAGCTACTCAGCCTCCGAACGAAGAGTTTAGGTTCATGCCCCATCATGTAGAAAAAGATGACAGGGCAGTGAGGTTGATTCTTCACCAAGATAAACGGGTACCCAATTCAGAGAGTCCCTACAGTCCCTCAGAGTCAAGAGCCTTGGGTGACCAAGCCCACGGCCTAGTTACTGCCCTGTCTCACAGCACCTTGTCACTAAAGCCTCAAATCAGAGCAACAGTAATTGGCCCGAAGCTCTTAACAATCAGAACAGCTACGTGGGCAAAAAGGGACGGGCCAGCGTTTCTTCACTTCCCCCGGTAAGTCATCTGACAGCCCACAAGCACACACTAAGAGCACACGGGGTTGCACAGGTAGCTATTCTAGACACAGCAAAAATGAAGGCAGAAGAGATCTGGGGGTGTGACTCAGCAGCGCGGCGCCTGCCTGAATGCAAGAAGCTCTAGTTTGGGGGTGTGGGAGGTGTGGGAGGGAGAACTGTGGTTGGAATGTAAAGTGAAATAAAAAAAATGAAAAGAAAAAGAAGACGCTCTAGTCTGATTCCTTGCTCTCCAGGAAAAGGACAGAGAAGGAACCGCGGGACACAAGAGAGGACAGATGATGTAATAAGAGATGGAGACCCAACAGTAAAAGGCAGGCTCCCTTACTGGGGAGAGAGCTGATCCACAGCTCTGGAGAACTGTAGAACGGCTGGATGGGTGCCTGGGGTACTTCCATCTCCAGAGGTTCTGTTTTGGTCCACACGGATTCAGGGCTGCAGTTGCCCACGCTGCAGTTGCCCACGCTGGCTGGAGCCATGGGAGAGCCTAGAACAGAAGACAGTGAGTGAGCACCAAGGGGCTCAGTATCCCCCCCCGTCCGTCCGAGGAGCGGAGAACAGGTAAGGTCAGCAGACAGGAGCCACTGAACCATAACCTGCTGTGATCTCCCAGCCTAGCACAGATCCCATGACTCATGACTCAGTGGTTATCACAGCTCCTGCCTCCTAGCCATTTTATTTCCCCATAAACCCATGGCTCTTTGTTTGCTAAAGATCAGATGGAGACAAGGGAGCTTAGTCTGGAGATCGAATTGGAAAGGCATGACTGAAAGGTGCTCTGCTACTTAATCTGTGCACAGCGGCTCAATGTCTTTATAAGGGGAGCACTGCACACACAGTGTGTTCACAGCAGCTCAATGTCTTCATAAGGGGAGCACTGCACAGTGTTCACAGTGACTCAATGTCTTCATAAAGGGAGCACTGCACCGTGTGTACAGGTGACTCAGGTATCCTAAGGGAAGTGCCACTGACTCAGCCAGCTGGCTTCAAGTGAGTGTCAATGCACAGTCTCTGTACAACACGAAGTTCTAGTAAAACAAATGCACTTTACAGTCACCAACTGTCTTAAAAAGAGGGCTAGATAGATAGTTCAGTCGCTGAGAAGCACTTGCTTCCCAGCCTGACAACCTGAGTTCAGTCCCCAGACCCAAGTGACTCCTGCTAGTAGTCCTCTGACCTTCCCGTGTGTGTGTGTGTGTGTGTGTGCTCGCGTGTGTGTGAGTCCACACACAGTAAATAAATATGTAAGAAAACATTAAAATGTCAGGAAGTAGGGCTGGATAGATGGCTCAGTGGTTAAGAGCACTGTCTGCTCTTCCAGAGGATACGATTTCAATTCCTAGTATCCACACAGCGCTCACAACTGTCTGTGACTCCAGTTCTGGGGGATCCAACACCCTCTCCTGGCCCCCACAAGCACTAGGTCCACGTGTGGTACACAGGCATGCCATTAAAACACCAACAAACATAAAATTTAAAAATTAAAAGTAAGGTTTTGAAAAAAATGGCTGGAAAGCATCAATGTTTAATATCCTGGCTAGATTTGTCTGTATCAATCACTGGATAAGCTGGAAGGCTCAGGGACAGGATGCAAGGAAGGCCTTTCTATTGACTATGCCCTTATACTAGTATAAACTGTAAAGCACGTGAAAGCGCTACTCATTCAACCAAATCCAATCACAACTTTTCAAGGACGAGAATGAAAACCCTAGGCTTTGGCAGGTTCAGTGGTGTCCATCTGTAGTCCCCGCACCTAGGAGCTGCCCCAGAAGGAGCACTTGTCGCAAGCCACTCTGGACCACTTCTGAAAACAAAAGGAAAGGAAAACCCCAGTCCCACTTCCTGCTGCCTTCAGTGCTGGCTTGCCCAGAGCTCACAGGCTCCACCTAGGCCTCACCTCTTAGGTCTTCCTCAGCTCTGCAATCAGGGGCCGATGTTCTTTGACCCTTTGCGTTTAAGTATGACACCATCTTACATTTCTGTTTTTAATGTGTGTCCTACAGTTTTCCCAGAAGGCCTCTAGGTGGCCTCAAACATGAGGAAACACAGAATGAGCCTTAAAGAAGAAGTCAGGACACTGGAAATAGATCACAGCCTTTCAAGGGAGGGCAAAAGAATGAGCCAGCCAAGAACCTGGGACAGTGCCCCACATTCCCAACTCTTTTTAACTGGCTTGTTTGTTTGAATTTTCGTTTTCTCTTTGTAAAGACAGGCTCTCAGCAGACCAGGCTAGACTCGAATCTGTAGTGATCCCCCTGTCTCCACCACCCAAACACAGGTGTCTCTGGCATTTTCTACCACACTCACTTCAGATAGATGCCCAACTCTAAAAACTTCACTAAGTGAGAACACAGCATGCGATAACACTGCCTAGAAGGTCTCCGTGGATTGTTTTTTTTTTCTTTTTAGAGATTTATTCTCATTATTTTTTAATTGTGTGTATGTGTGTGTGTCCAAGGAGGTCAGGGACACCAAATCCCCTGGAACCAGATGACTGTGAGCCAACCTGAAATGGGTTCTTAACTACAGAGTCACCTCTAAAATTCCCATGAAAGTTTTCTTTAATCCATCACTTGTTTGCAAAGGTCCAAAGGGCATCATCTTTAGCACCAGCACTGGGAGGCAGAGGCAGGTGGATCTCTGAGTTCCAGAGCAGCATGGTCTATAAATGGCAAGTTTAGGCCCGGGGGGGGGCGGACTACACATAGTACCCTGTCTGACACAAACAACAACAGAATAACCACACACAAAAAGAAGGAAGGGGAGCAGGATGAACATGAACAAACACTGCCATTTCCCAGTTCTAGGTGCAGAGCTAGAATAAGTGACCCCAGACCCTAAGACTGCATCTCTAGGTTTACCGAAATTCTCCAGGTAGCAAAAGTCATGTCATCTCACCCACCCACAGCAGGCAGAGCTAGCAATGATAGCCAGTCATTCAACTAGCATCTCCACGGGCAGATGCAGTAAGGAGGCCTCAGGAGGGCAACCCCCACGGCACCACAGGGATGCTCAGATGAGCATCTGCAGACTCAGACCCTGCTGCTACACCGCAGTCCCAACCTCTCCACGCGCCTGTCTCCTAGAGAGCTGAGCTTAAAGGTGCATGAGAGAAGCTGTTGCCAGGAGACCGTTTGGCAGGATTCAGGAAGGCCTGCTGTTCCTTCTTACCGCTCTTTTTTTTTTTTTAACTGGCCTAAGGCTGGGCATACTCTCCCTAACACACTGGGCTTTGTTACTCTTCCCTTAAAGTCCCTCATACTCCACCACGTGGCCGACCACCACGTTTGCTAAAAAAAATGCCAGCTCAACTCAAACAACATGGCTTTCTCTTGTCCATTTCCATCTTCCTCCTCCCGGCAGCTGTCATGTAGAGATGTGCAGCTTGACTGTCCAGGGAGTTTTCTTTAAAAGGCTAGGAAAACTGTCAAAAAGCTTTCAAAATCTAAAAACCCATGAAAGGAGACTCTTATAGGTAAACCCACAAGAGCCAAGTGCCTTCAGCTAGAGCCAAGTTTTCCATGACACGGCTTCGGCAGAGTGGATTTTGTTAAGGACATGACTCAGAATTCATGCAAGGGAAACTACTGGGAGTTCAACTGCAATTCATAAACGGGATATACCACTTAACCCCGAAGCAAACTTCCCAAATTTATCATTCGCTGGGAGTGAATTATGCCTTTTTATTGCTCCGAATTGGATGGTCTCTAGGACCCACCCTCCTGCATTGGAGTCACTGAGGCATCAGAGGTCTCCTGCCTGTGACTCTTGCTCACTAACACCCCAGCAGCCTGGCTGGGGTGCTCACCATTGCCCCCCACCCAGCAACGGTGGCTGATGGATGGGTCAGTGGTCCCAAGACCAAAAAAAGCCAGTTACATCTTCCTCACCCCTATGCACCACCGGCCGCCCCACTCACCATTGATGTTCAGGAAGGGGAAGGTGTCCTGGATGGGGACGTGGTGCTGCGACTGATCAAGCTCGTCCTCCTCCTCATCTTCATCCACGTCGTTATCTTTCTCATCCCAAGGAGCAGACCCCGTGGACCCTACCCATGACACAAGAGCCCAGTTTGTTTCGATGCCGTCTCAACAACTGACCCAGCACCCCGGCTACAGACACCTCAGGCTTCAGTATGCACCCACAAGCCCTAGCTGGTTCTAACTCCTTCTACAGAGTCTGAACTCAAGTTCTTATCTTGCCAAGATGGCCCCGAAGTTAAGAACACTGCCTGTTCTTCCTGAGGTCCTGAGTTCAATTCCTAGCAACTACATGAAAAGCTTGCAACCATCTATAATGAGATTTGGTGCCTTCTGGCATGCAGGTGTACTTGCAGATAGAACACTTAAATCTTAAAAAAAAAAAAAGGAGGAGGAGGAGAAGAAGAAGAAGAAGAAGAAGAAGAAGAAGAAGAAGAAGAAGAAGAAGAAGAAGAAGAAGAAATCTCTATACTTTACTATGGCTACACAGTAGCTTTCTACACATTAGCATCTCTTTTAAGGGCTCCATCTTCCTGAGCCACATACCAGGGACGCACAACCCTCCGTCATGCCAGAGCCTCCCTGGATGGCATCATGCACTGAGGACTGGGTGGCATGCTCTCAGCCAAGGTACTCTACAAACTAAACTATCATTCACCTAGCATCTATAGAGAACACGCTAGCTTTTACAGATCCTTTGAAGGAGACAGAATGAAGAGAGTTCGCATCTAGAAATGGAAGGAACAGAGACTCAGATGCCCAATAACGAAATTCAAGCTCAACCTAATAGAGGGATAAGAGCCAGGTTTGGAAGGCGAGCCCTCTAGCTCTTACTCCTTCACCCTCACATCCCCAAAGAGGCTGCCCCACCAGTGGAACTGTCCCCTCACCCGCTCGAAGCACTCACTTCGTAACTCCTTTACGCCCTCCGCTCTCAGAGCTCTTCCTCGGGACAGGTCTGATCTCAACCTGTCTCTCTCCACCTGTCTCTTCAAGAGCCCAACCCTGGGTCCATCCAGGCCTCACCTGGGTTAATGACAGAGCCCTGGGGCTGGGGGATGTCGCACACTTGGTAGATCTTCACAGGATTCATGGGCACTTCCTTGGTGCCATCATACATCAAGTTGAACTCCCGGCTTTTGTTGAGAGCGCAGCGGAGCTGAGCCTTCCATTTAGCAGGGTCAGGGTCGTCCACTCCTTCCTGGTACTTCCCAGTCTCCACAGCCCAAGCCTGAGGGATGAGGCAGCGTGAGTGCTGGCCGCGATGGGGAGCCACTGTCAAGCATGTATGCACGTAAGCGCCCCTTTCGCGCGCGCGCACACACACTGGCGCGCTCATCTGTGAGTGCTCTACAATCCCAACACCCAACTCAGAGGCTGCGGTGGATAAATACTGCCGTGAGGGCCAACCGAGGCAGGCCAAGGGGAAACTAAGCTGTGTGCAAACACAGCTCCGAAAGGGGCCTTAGTTCGGGCTTTAGGACCAGCACCTGTCCAAACAAAAGCTGAAACTGGAGCCTGGGCCTCGCTGTAGAGCAGGGCTTCAGACAACCTTTTCCTCCTCCTCTAACCCTCTTCTTCCTTCTTTTTCTCCTCCCTCCATCTGGTTTTTGTTTTTGGGGGGGTTTTGTTTATTTGTTTGTTTTTGAGGGTTTGTTTAAGACTTAATTTTCAGTTATGTCTATTTGGCACAGGGGTGTGTCCGTGTACATGCAGATGCCCTCTGATGCCAGAAGGGACTGCAGGAGGGATTCCCTGGAGCTGAAGTTACAGACCGTCGTGAAGAGCGTGGGTGCTGGGACCTGAACTAGGGCGCTCTGCAGAGCGGCATGCTCTCCTTGACGCTGAGCCATCTCCCCAGCTCCCGTCTCTTAAAAAAAAAAAAAAAAAAAAAAGACAAGATCTCACCGTGCAGCCCCACACTGGACTCAGCCCCGAGTCCCCCTTCCCGAGCCTCCACGGTGATGAATGTCAAGTGTGATCCACCTCGCCTGGCTCTCTTTTAAAACTTGGATATCTTACATAACAGTAAGTGTGACAAAAGGTAACAGCGATGACATGAAGATGTTCAGAAGCCAGGTATGGTGCTGTCTGTCTGTCTGTCTGTCTGTAATTCCAGCACTTAGGAGGCCAAAGCAGGATAGTGGGTGAGTTCAAGGCCAACCTGGCCTACGTATGAGACCTCAGTTCAGTAAAACGAAAGTCCTTCAGGAAGCATGGGCTGGAGTTCTGCTTGCCCGCAACCCCTACCTGCAGGCTTGGAGCTTTAACAAATTGACACACATCTCCTCCCCTTTCATGGGAATCCTCACGCAGTGGCCTGGTGGTGTGGCCTAAAAATCACTTGGAAGCTTCCTCTCTATGTTTCCGACGTAGGGACTCACAGACAAGAGGAAGGGGGCCATCTGCCCAGTGAGAAGAGGGGAAGCCAAAGCCACTGAGGAAAAGAGCAACAGACCCAGCCCCTCAGGAGTGTACCAGTTAGAGGCTACCCATTCTCCCTCAGGCCATTGCCCTCTGACCACTAAGCTTTCTTCATATTCTCAGCGCAGAAGAGACCTCACTAGAGGTCTGTCCCTCCAACAAGAGGAGCATACTAGCCTCTTCTTGTTTTTGATCTTCATGACATTTTATTTATTTTGTGTACATAGGTGGGAATTGGTTCTCTCCCTTCTATACCATTTGGGTCTTGGGGATGGAACTCAGGTCATGAGGCATAGTGTCACATGCCTCTTCCCTCTGAGACATCTTGCCAGCCCTTCCTGGACCTTTTCAAGTTGACAGGGCAGAGGACTTGTCCAAACTCTTTGCCAGAGAGGACTTTTTTATTTTTTCTTTTTGATTTCCTGAGACAGTCTCTCACTATGTAGCTCAGGCTAGCCTCAAAAATTGACAGCAACCCTCCTGCCTTAGCCTCCAGGGTACTGGGATTATAGACACGCACCACCATGCCAGACTTTTTCCTTAAGCTGAAACTGGACACCTGCACACCCTCTTTTGAGATCTCTGGTCTCCCTCAACTCCGCCCCGCAGCGCAGCAGAGTCCAGGGTTAATCTAGGTCCTCTTCCTCTTCCAACTCGGGCTTGCTTCCTGTAGCCCTGCTTCTCTGATTTGGCTCCCTCTGTGTGCTTCGCAGTGCAGGGCGAAGAATACCAGCAGAGCTGAGCTGCCCTGTGCGGCACAGCAGGCGCCAGGGTGTCTGAGGCTGGTCCCATCTACCTGACTCCCAGAGGGAGTCTCAGTTCCACCGTGCACAGCATCTGAGACGCACGCCTGCCGTTACCTGGAGGGCCTGCCTTACGGCCTCCCCTGTCCCCTGGGTTTGTCACCCCTCAGTTCATGCTGGCTCAGGCTCCACCCTATCCACACTGACTGACTCCACCCTATTATGCACACTCTGACTCCACCCTATCCACACTGACTGACTCCACCCTATTATGCACACTCTGACTCCACCCTATTCACACTGACTGACTCCACCCTATTATGCACACTGGCTCTGGCTCCACCCTATTATGCACACCAGCTGACTCTAGCTGCAGATTCTGGGAGAAGCCTGTCCATTCCTCCTTATACCCCCCCCCAAGCCCTGCTCCTTCACAGTAGCACTACGCTAACTGTGTCCCTCCCTGGTCCCAGCTTCCTTCCAGCTCTCAGCCAGCTCACGATAAAGCAGAGGACTGTACCCTTTGTAAGCACAACTTCAGCATCAAGAAGGGAGGGCCAGGGAGCGCCATGCGGGCAGATGCCCCCGGGTGATGTGAAGATCCTCTTTGTCCTCCTAAAATGGTTATCGTCTCTACATTTTCCTTCACAGATATTAACTTCCCTATAACACTGTAGACAGTAGACATTGTCTCTACAAATATCTTGATTTTTCACGGCAATTCTAAGAAGCGGACAGACCGGCTCCGCCCCAGCTTACCAAAGGGAAAACTTTTTGGTAAGAGGCTGCATGCTTTGCTCAAGACCTCCCACAGAGTGGGTGGTTATAGAAGTTGAGACAGGACAGTCCAGTCCCCACTCAGACTCAGAAGGGGGGGGAGGGAACAAAGACAGAGACACGGGATCAAATCCTGGAAATACCATTGATAGGCTGTGTAACTAGGGGATGTTACACCGCCCGGCTGACAGCATCTATACCGACAACATGGGGTGGGAGAAAGCCTTTCCTTGAAGCGACACTGCGAACATCGGCACTGCGAACATCGGCACCTATTCCGCGCTGATGCTTTAGCTTTGTATCTCACCAAATGTTCAACAGAGTATGGAATCAGTGACAGCATCCTCTCTCTTTCGACTACTCAGATGCTCCATCAGCATTCTACAGACAGACCCCCCACCCCCAGTGCAAAGCTTCCTCATACCCTCACGGGAGGGGATTGCAGGACCAGCCTCTTCTTGTAACCAACCAGACACTTCGATAGCAAACGAGACTCGGAGCAGGGCTGCGAGGGATGCCATCAGGGTCTAGGCAAGCTCATCCCTTTCTCAGTGCCAGCTCTGCCAGTGGGGGGCACTGGTCTGTGGATATTTTCTTTAACAGTTTCATAATATTCATATCTAAGCTAAGTATGTATCGTTTACACACTTTCAAGATACCCTCAAGCCAATTTCCTCTCTGCCTCTCCCCTCTACACCCGACACAGGCGGGAAATAGCATCGTCAAGACCCCTGGACCTGCCTTCTCTACCTTCTCCTGATGCCACAGTCAAGACCGGATCACAGCTCAGCCTTCCAGCTTATAGGCAAGGAAGACAGGACAAGCTCACTTCACATCTTGATCTGCAGGAGCTAAAGCCACCCCTAAGGTGGAAGGGAGAAGTTGGTCTAGAGCGGAAAGACGGCTCCTGGAATTGCAACCACAACGAAACCCTTCCAGTAACCCCTGCCCACCTACTTCTGTCTGAAGTCAAGTTACACTTAGACTTAGTAAAGTACGATGTGACTTAATCTCGACTTCAGTTAGCTACAGTGAGGATCGTAGAAGAATTGCTTTATATTTAACAGAGTGTAATTAGGGCTTGGGATATGTAGCCCGGTGGTAATGTGTATGCTTTGCCTGTACAAAGCCCTGGGCTTGATCCCTAGGAATGAAAAAGAAAAGGAATGAAAACAACGAGAAGAGTGTGGGGAGAGAAGGGGAGGAAAAAGGGGAGGAGAGGAGAAAGGGGGAGGGAGAAAGGAAGACACTTAAACAATAAAAATGCGAGGCTGGAGAGAAGGCTCGGCAGTTATGCACTGGTCTCGCAGAGGACCTGGGTTTGGTTCCCAGTGCGTTCTCACATCATCTGTAACTCTAGCTCCCAGGAACCAATGCTTCTAATCACCAAGGGCACTCACATGCACATACACACACAGACAGTACCCCCCCCACACACACATAATTAAAAATAAAAATCTTTAAAAAGGAGTAAAAATGTAAATCATGCACCTTTAATTTTCAAGCAGAGGATATTAGTGAGACAAAATATTTAAAACTGAAAGGATAGCTTCCTGGGTGAAGGTCTCTGCATTATCTTATAGGCTATGTACAAGCCCAATGACGACCAAATGCCCTGTCCTTGCCAAGTAAGCCATCCACAGGCCCAAGTACCTTTTTCTTCATGGCAAGAGTCCTGGCTGAGATGGTGGCTGACATTAGTTCCTTTGGAGAAGTCACATCCTACACTCCCTGGGAATTGAGCCCCCAACACACACACACACACACACACACACACACACACACACACACACACACACACCCCAGACCCACTGGGCTATGAACCCAGCATCTTCCAGACAATGGGAATATAAAAGACTTCAGCCTTATAGACACACCTTGAGGAAAGGAATCACAATTTGGGCATCTCGTTGTATAAATTCCACTGCGCCAGAATGCCAGAATAGACGAAGCAAAGAAGCCCAGAGTGGCCTCAGAGAACTGGAACGAAATCCAACTCAGATGGCAGGAGGAAGTTCTTTACCTTAAAAATGGTGTTTTCTTCCTCTTGTTGGGGGCTGTGCCGTGTGGCATGTTTCCAGGGGATTTGGAAGCGTTTGGAGTCTCTATGCAGCCAGATGAGACCAGGGTAGAGGCCACTGTCCACCTGGGCCACCAGCCAGGGCTTCAGCCGGACTCTTCGAGGGTGGAGGGCCATGATCTAGGAGAAGGGAGGATGGGAGAATAAGGTTAGCCACTGGGAACTTTCCCAGCCACCGTTCCCATGTGCGGCAGCTACAGTTTCACTAGATTACGGCAAAGAAATTAAATATGGCAATAGCCTGTGCCAGAAAGAGGAAAAGAAACGAGGTAAAAAGGGTTCTTTTGATTCTTATTGCAAAGCCATTTATACTTCATGCTCCAGCCAAATCAGACTTATCATGCGGGCAGATCGCATTTCTTCTATTTAAGTCCCTAAGTGCGGTAATGAAAAGGTGATGTCACCTGTGCTGGAGCAGAGCTCCCTGGGAGGTGGGGGGGAGCCTCAGCAAAGGAGCCATGATTGCTCTTTTCAACCTTGCCTCAGGAGAGGGAAGTAAAGCTTTAGAAACAGAAAGCGTATGGGCCAGAAGCCGAACGACAAGTCTTTCCAAGAAGACAATGGGAAAACAGTGAGATGCTTCCTTGAGAGAAGCAAGTGAGGGGCGGGCCCTGGTTCCAAAGTCCTCACTTACATGTGCCAGCAGGCAGTCCCAGCTCGGAAATCTGAAGAGCTGGGCCCAGACAGCCTTCCTTTCTCTTGGCTCCCAGCAAAAGGAGTCCCAGCTTGTCTCCAGTGCCTGAGGTACAGTTTGGGGACGCTTCGCAGAGGTGAGCCTAGTAAATCCTTAAGAAGCCCTCCAATAACCAAATTCATTGTCACGGCCAAGCCCTGTGTAGAGAGAGGCTGGCCTCACTTGGGTCTGTTTATCTCCCCATAGAGGCTGGAGGAAACCAACTGGTTCCAGGCGCCAGGCTGGGTAAAGTCTGCGATTGATTCTCCTAGAAACATGGACCGGCCTAGCAGATAACATTCTACCACAGCCAGCACTCACAGCCCAAAACAAAGGCCTGTGGATGCAGTGCCAGAGGGGAAAGTCGCTTGCTAGAAAACTGTCTGCTGATGGTGTCGAGTTTTTTTGGATGACATCAGGTGTGTTCAAAGCAGTATGGCCAAGGACTCTTCTGGTGTTTTAGTGCCCTTGTTTTGATTTACTTAAGACAGAAAGAGACACCTGGAAAAAGTAAGTCATTCCACAAATATTTGTTCACTAGCGGCCGTGCGCCAAGCACTGTGCTAATTACTAAGCATAGTTCAGTATTCCGTCCCTTCCTTCTTGAGGAAATCTACACTGGAACTATAAGCCCCATGACGGCCTGCAAATGCTACTACTTTCTTCACTCCAGATACCCCCTATCAGGGTCACAGTTCTGAAGCAAAGCCAGTTTAGCCGGCAGACGATTGCCTTCAAAGAATCCTAGCCATGGGTGAGCCTCTAACATCTCTTCTTTCCCTGGTCAAGTCCCCCACAAATACGACAAACTCAACCCAACTCAATTTCTGGCACTTTAAGAGCAAGGTAGGACTTGAGCCTTCTGACCCAATTAACAAGTCCTGCAACTGAAACCGTCCCCTTGGGAGCACAGCTTGCTGGGGCAGTTGAGCAGGGCATAGCACCTTCTAGAGCCCTTGTTCTTGGCCCTGGCTTGGGGTGCTTCTCAGGGCGGCTCATGGAACCAGTAAACCAGACAGAGCGCAGACACTGGATGGAAAGGGACTACAAGGCAGGAGGACTGGGGGACCAAGGCCAGACTGCATTACACAAGACCCCGCCTCAAAAAGAAATATTTTTAAAAGGAATCCATACCCCAATGGCAAGTGGCTGCCTCCTCCCCGGGTCCCATGACTGCCAGAAGATGAGACAAGGACAGGAGAGTCATAACAGTGGAAGGGACGGCAGACCAATCAACCTAGCTCTGGGCTCTGAGCAGCTGCACTGCTGTCCTGATAAAGCCCTGACTCTGGGTTTGTCACCTGTGTGAAATCCACCTCCTGTCTGGCCATGTACCTGAATGGCTTATTACAGTTGATTCACGGCCATCAAGGAAAAAAAAATGAAGGCAACCAGCCCACAACAGCAATCTGCACTAGCAAGACAAGATGAGCCACCCCTGGACACTGGCGACTAAGATCTGCATCCGGATTCTCCATGTTCCCCCCGGGTGGGACCACACACATGTACGGCCCCCTCAGCCTGCCCTCCTCTGCCCTACTTCCTTCTCTGCAACCCTCTGTGCCCTTTTAAAAATCACCCAAGAGATTCTCATCTGAGACTCCTAAAACAGGTATGGGGGAGGGTAAAAAACAGCCAAGATGTCGGAGAGGAAAAATACGGTTCATTAAACTAAACCTAGGGACTGTGAAGCCCACAACCGTGATGTCTCCACTCTGTAACACACACAGTCGGGGACTGGGGAAGACATTGAGACACACCACGGGCATATGCAGCGCTTTGTACACTTCTCCATATGCTTTTACATACATTGGCCGCATTATGTCTCGATTCCTAATTATTTTAAAGCTGCAGCAGCATTTTTTTTTCTTCTGTGTCACGGGACAACGACACTGTCTTCCACATCAACAAGGCTCTACAAGGTCACCTGCGTGCCCTCAGGATCCCAGGAGCGGTGTCAGCCCCATTTGACAGCTGAGCTAACTGAAGCACAGGGATGTTAAGCGTCCCCTACCTTACCTCTGGGTTATACCAAAGCCTGCCATTGTGCCCTGCACCCTAAGCCCCACCCCCACCCCCAACCCTTCTTCTACACGTAAGAAATCAAATCTAAACCAACAAGGACCTGGCAGAGGACCCACCACAATGCGACGAAGAGATTAAAGGCCCAGTCTTAAACACACCTCCGTCAGACCTCTCTCTAAACCTTCATGCCGCTGAGCCTGAACCCTGCCGGCCTCCAGCTGCCACCTGGAAAAGAAAGCCCTGTGCCTCTGGGTGGTAGGAACCATCCAAGTGACAAAGCCACCACCCACCTTCTCGCCGTGAGCAGACAGCAGGGGCACTTTCGGGCTCCTTGGGGCACTAACTGTCCTCAGGAAAGTTCCACCACTTCTGCAGCCCCTGCTGAGCCAGTTTCTGGGACCTCGGGGGACCTCAGGCTGCAAGGCTGTCGTGGCTTGGGCCGGTTCTCAAAGGCAGCTGTTGGGGCCGCCCTAGCTTCCCGTTCTTCCTGATGGGGAACTGAAATGCCAGCTCCCAGGATTTTAGCCATGTCTGGGGGTAAATTCTGGGCTTCTGGTCACATCCTCACCTCCCTCCTCCTTGCCGGGTTGGAGTTGGTAGATGACAGTGGGCCTGGTTGTAAGCCACCGTGCTGGCATGAGGGGCGCGCGCAGATCTAACTTCACCTATCCCTGCCCCAACACCTTCGTCCTCGTGGCTTCTCTGGCTTCCATCTCGACACCCACCAGGAGGACAGGGAAGGGCTGGTGACCACTTTGCCACCAAGCAGGCTCCTGGGAAACACAGCCGCCCAGGCCTCCCTTCCAGGCAAGTATGGAAGGCTTTCCCAGCACCGCCTCCAGCCCCTTCAGGCCAGGAGGGCCTCACCCCGCGGAGCTGAGCTGCCACGCCTGGCGCCACCCTCCCCAGCACCTAGTTTGGCTACCTGGAACTCCACCGACTTTGTGGCCCTGGCCCAGCGTGAAGAGTGCTAAGACACCGGGGAAAAGGAAAACAACTCCTCCAAAAGCCCTGGGTCATCCTTATCTCAGTTTCCCCTAAACCGCCACTAGGACCCAGGGCCTCAGGGCCTGGGAAGTCCCCTCTGGGACACAGGAGCCAGGCCACTGAGCAAGCTGGTTAAAACCGGAGGGGCTGGGGTGGGGGAATGCCTTCAGTCCGTGCAGCAACGGCGGAGCAGGCGGGGCGGAGAACGAGCTCATTCCGCGGGACGGCAAGGGTGTCCCCAGACGGTGTGAGATCAGGAGGGGCCCGGTGGCGCCCTAAGGCGACATGGACGAGGGTGCCCAGTACCCAGCTCGGTGCGCGACGCGCAACCGTCCGTCCCCAAGCCAGCTCCCCCGCCCACACCAACTCCAGTGGGCCCGGCCGCACCCGTCAGGTGTCTCTCCTCCCTCACGGTGGCCCTGCCGACGCCAGCGTCCCCACCTGGCCTCAGTCAGCGTCCAGGAGCAAGTGCACAGGGGTTCCCCCGACGGCTCGGCGCGGCTGGGAACCGCGGGCTCCTCGGCGGCCCGCACAGGCCCGCACCTGCCCACCTAGGTGCCCGGAGCTCAGCTCCTAGCCCAGGTCGCCGCGGCCCCTGGAGCCGTGTCTGGCCACGCCCTCCAGGTGTGGCCACATCCCCCGGAGATCAGGATTGGCGCATTGCAAGAAATCCGATACTCTGCGTTCTTGGGCCGCGGGCCCCGCCTTGCCTGTGTTCGTCACCCTACGCCCCTGCCACCGACCAAGGGAGCGGTGCCTGCGTGGGCCTCGCCCTGCGAGTGTCCCACGGTCCCGGGAGGGGACCCGGGAGGTCAGGGGGTCACGTGGAAGTAGGAGGCCGCCGGCCCTTCCATAGTAACCCTGTGCCAGAGGGTTTTGAGACGGGTCCCCCACAGCTGGCTCCGGGAACTTTGCCCGCGGACTGGGCTTTGAGAAGCTAGGTCAGGACCTGTCGTCAATGCGGCCCCCAGGACTGTCCGTGCAACCCCGGGTTCCGCCTTATTTTCTCACCTATGCAGACGCCACTGCGGTTTCCCCTTTTTCCATTCTCCATGAAGGGCTAGTTGAAATCACAGGCAGCTGTGGGGTTCAACCCCCCCAAATTTATCAGGCACTGGGGACTTGGGCTCAACTGTCTGGGCTTCCGTTTCTTTATTATTATTATTATTTATTTATTTATTTATTGTAGATTGGGATTGCCAAAGGTGCCTGCCTTGCGGGCGATGCGGGCATTCGATGAGCGTCTAAAGTTCATTGCACTCTCAGTGATGGTTGAAGTAAGGGTGGAGTATGCCACAGCGCCTCGCAGAGTAAAGAAGGTGTCACCTGGAGTTCAAGTCCTGTGTGCCTGAAGAGTGTCACCCACCTCCCCCATCCATAGGCCACCTATGGAAGCAGTGTCCGGTCGGTGAGGCAAATCCCTCACCCCAAATCCGTCCGTCCACAAGGAGATGGACGGAACATGAGAGCAGAGCACTTAGGGGGAAGGCTGGGGGCGGAGCGCCTTTGCAGAGTGTTTCCCCAGTATGTCAAGGCACTACTAAAAGAGTAACAGTAACGAAGGGCATCCACCACTGGCGAGGCTGAAGAATTGAGACTTCAAATTAGCCGGACACTACACAGTGTGAAGGTTTGTGTTGATTGTCGTCGGGTCACCAGATGACAGACCTCTGGGCGTGTGTGTGTGTGTGTGTGTGTGTGTGTGTGTGTGTGTGTGTGTGTGTGTGTGTTGGGGTGGGGTTGTGTAGATCAAGGTTGGCCTCTGAGAATGTCTGTGAGGGATTGTCTTGATTAAACGTATTGGTGTGGGAAGACTCGTCTCAATTATGAACAGGACCATTCCCTGAGCGGGAATGTACTGTACTCAGAGTTAGGATGGAGATGCTAGGCCTAGCTTTAGGACGCATGCATTCAGTCCTCTGTGCTCCTGACTAAGGATGATTCAAGTTCCCTGGTCCTTGACATCCCAGTAGTGACAGGCTGTGTACACTCCTGAATGGAGACAGAATAAACTCTTTCCTTCTTACATTGCTTTTCCTGGTTATTTTATCACAGCAGATGGGAAGGAAAAACAAGACAGCAAGTTGGAGGCCAGCCCGCGATCCATAGTGAAACCCTGTCTCAAAAAATAAAGTGAGGTGATGAGGGAGCGATTCGAGGGGCTGGGTGCAGAGCCCTGCTGCCTAATGTCCCGGTCCCCAGGATCAGGGCACAGCTCTATTGTTGGCGTAAAGATGCGACAGAGTTAGAATGAGGTCATTGGGTTGGCCCTAATCCAATATGACTGCTATCCTTACAAAAGGAAGAGAGCTGAACACAGACATCATAGGATGGATATGATTCAGAGATAAAGGAAAAGATGATCACTGAAGTCACAGGCAGAGACATGGAATCGTTTTTCTCCCTATAAACCTCGGCTGAATGCCACCACAGCATCGCCCTTCTAAACCCCTGAGTGACAGGACGGTGAGCCGCTTGGCTATCTATGGTATCTATTCTGGAGAGCACAGTAAATTAGTATAAGTTGTTTGGAGAGCCCTGGATTGGTGATAAGCTTGGTTTTCTCCCAGTCCCAGCTCAGCTTGGGATGCCACCAGTGCAAAGGCCTGAGAAGGCAGCAAGGCTTCACATGACTCAACCAGCCAGCCTCCGTTTTCAACCACTGCCTGTGGTCACTCTTTCCTATTCTCAGGGAGGAGCTGGCTCATCAGCCCAGCCCAGCCCACTCTGTGTGACTGATGCTCAGGAAAGTTCAGGTCTTGTGTGTGGGGGGGGTGTCGCTGGCTCTTAACAAGTGTATGTGCAGGGCAAGACTACCCAAGGCGTGTCACCCAAGAGAAGCCAAAGGCCTATACATGGCACTTCACCTGGCTGAAACTCCCAAGACTAAAGTAATGCCTCCAACTCCTTTAGAAGTATGTTGAAGTGTTGGGGTTGGGTATGGCATATGTTTGTAACCCCAGTGTTTGGGAAGTTGAGGCAGGAGGATCACGAATTCAAGGCCAGCAGCCTTGGCTACATAGTAAGGTTTAAGTCTAGCCTCGAAAACAAGATACATATTTTAGAGTAAGGGAAATTTAAGCTAAATTTAGACTAAATTCTCTAGTCCAAAAGCTGAGGATATAGCTTACTGGTAACAGACTTGCCCAGCAAAGCCCTGGGTTCTACCCCCAACACCACAAAAGTAAATTCTCTAGCAGGGGTGAGACTGGCTTAGAAAGTTTGTTTGGTCCACACTGCATTCTCAGCGCAGGAAAGTTTCACATAAGCCCTGGAGTTCGCACTATGGACAGATACCCAGCCAGCGTTTCTAGCTGCTCACAGCTGCCCATGCAGAGGGAAATCTGTGTATTAAGGCAATGACAGGACACCCTAGAGCAGAGGTTCTCAGCCCTCCTGATGCTGTGACCCTTTAACACAGCTCTTCATGTGTTTGTTCTGGTTTCTTCAAGACAGGGCTTCTCTGTAGCTTTGGAGTCTGTCCTGGAACTTGCTCTGTAGACCAGGCTGGCCTTGAACTCACAGAGATCCACCTGCCTCTGTTTCCCCGCATGCTGGGATTAAAGGCGTGCACCACCACCACCACCACCACCACCCAGCTAAGGAGGCACAATTGTTAACGTAGTGCCTAACACAAGACTCCAGCTCTCTTTTCACTTTCCTGAAGAATCAACGGGAGGAGGCAGCCAGGGCGGCAACTGGGAAGAAACCCTGGATCTGGCAATAGAAAATCTGTGGTCTCTTTTCCTTGAGACAAGCCCCATTTGTGTGGGCTGGGGACAGAGTGTTTTGTGAGCTCCTCCAAGGTCCTCAGGATTGGATTCTATGTCCTCCTTGGAGGCTCAGTCACTCACTCACGATTGGGCCAGACCTGGTCTGTCATTTCACCCCGTGTTGCTGCTCGGGTGGGGTGGAGCTGACTCACCTGTGAGTCTCAGTTTCAGGCCTTAGTCGATGCCCCAGTACCGGGGCCCTGACTCACGACCCAGCACAGGGACCTGGGGAAGTTCCTCCTCTCCCTGCCCCTGCCACTTCTATTCCTGTCACCTCTCCTCCTGTAGGAAGGAGTTTCCTTCGCCGCTGGAGACGTCAACCTCTATTAATATTGTGCATGTGACAATAAAGCGATGAGACCCAATCCTCCCTTTCTCCTTGGCAGAGCAAAGGGTGAGGTAAAACTGGGACCCCAGCCAGAAACTTGTGCAAGGGAAGCCTGAGCCTTACAGGAGTCGGTGACAGTAGCCACTCTCCCCAGGCTGTCTTCAATGTAGAGGGTTGCTGAAGGACACCTAACTAAGCAATCCAGCCCTGCAGTCCCATCATAAACTCGGGCCCCAGTGAGTCTTCTAGAAGGCATTCCATAGCCCATGAGGCTGCACCCAAATCCAGGTTTTTGGCCCCAACCACCTTTGCCTCCATCCAGGTATTTCAAGGTTGTTGGGGAAGTCCTGTGTATGTGTCAGTAAAGCACTGTTGGCCAATAGGGAAGCAAGATAGGTAGGACTAGGAGTCAAGGAGGATTCTGGGTAAGAGAAACACAGGGAGTCAAGATGTAACC